ACAGAGGGTGGGGGGGGGGGGGGGGGAGTTACTGTAGCAGGGTAACCGCCGCGTTATGGGTGTGTTACTACTGTAAAGAGACTGTGGAGAGCGTGTTTCGCTGTGGAAGTGCTGAGAATTCATTTTCCTTCTTTTAACATCGCATGCATGTCGTTTCTTGTTGACTCCAATAACACTACACGTATTTTCTGTACAAGCAAGGCCAAATCCGAGTTCCTGACGGGCAGCAAGAAAGAAAACAATTCCACCAGCGGAATTGGGCGACAAATGTTTGTCCGCGTGGTCCAGCAATATGGCGTGCGACCAAATCACCTCCAACCTACTTCATCAGGCTCCGTCTGGATACACAAGTAGCTCAGGAGCGAGCAGCGAAACCGGCCATCATCTGTTCCAAGGTTTCATTATCTTCTGCTGCTTGCGTGGGCATCATCGAGCATCCTCACTCTAGACTCATTCTGCCCTGATACAACCTGCAGTCGTCGCACGGTGAAGAACGGCGTGGTCGCAATGGCGACCCCCAAGCATCATGTGTGCCTCGTGGCCTTGATAATGGTGGCGCTCGCAGTTCTGTCCTGCCACCTCCTCCCCGCTGCTGCTGCTAGCGTCACCATGCAGGCCGATCAAGGTGGAAGCCGCCATAGCCACTGACACGTCGCTCATGTGACGATGTTTGTTAGCGGTACTAGTACTACTAGTAATTGTTCCATGAGGCGACATGGGTCTGTGTCCGCTTCCGCCTTCTTCCACCTTTTACATGGTTTTCCGTACTATCATATGGTCATGATGTTTTCCTTTTCCATTTCCTTTTCTCCCTCATCTGTTCGGCGTCCTCAGCGGCGGCGCTGTTGAGCATTAAGTCGGCCATGGGGCTCACCTTCACCACGTGGGCCACCACCAATCCGTGCCGTCTGGAGGGCGATGCCGCCTCAGCTGGCGAGTGGGGCAGCGTCAGCTGCTCTGCTGACGGCCGCGTCTTCATGATGTGAGTGCTGACGGCAAGGCAGGGAGCGGCAGACAGATAGTAATATTGGTCAAAAGAAAAGGACCAAAGGTGGGGCAAATTTGAGCAAAATCACCAGTTTTTGTCTTACTTTGGACCAATCCAATAGCGGGTTTTCTGTGATGAGGTGTGAATGCTTGTGACGCCTGCAGGCACACGGGTTCAATGGCGTCCCCTGCGCCAAGAACCCCCCTTTTCGGTCCGTGATCTAGCAGGGCGTTCAACTTATCCTTACTAGCCTCGTATCCTGACTAGTTCGCATTGACCGCTGGCAAAGAGAAATGCTGGCGGCTGGCGAGGCAGCATCATGTGGGGCTGACGGCAGGCCGCAGGGAGCGGCAGCACTCCAAGTTCCCTGTCATGCAAGCAATGCCTCACTGTTACCTCACTGTTTCCTCACTGCATCACGTGTGTGTGTGGTGCGCAGCAACCTGGACTCCGCGGGACTCGTGCGCAAGAGCTTCCCCTCAGACATCACCAAGCTCACGGGTCTTGGTGTCGTGTAAGTGCCCTCTGCTGCTGAGTTGCCCTCACATTCGTCCGATGCATGCACTGCCCCGCTTGAGGCGCTCCTTCTTTCGCCGCTGCATTGCCACGCTCAACCCTAAATGTTAGGGTGGTTTGCCACTGCCCTAATGACTACCGGCCTACTCGCCTAACCTAGGGACGGTATGACAACATTAGGTGCGGTGGGAAGGTCGACCTAATGTCGAGGAGACATTCCCGAAGTCTAAAATGTCCAATCGCAACCGAACCGTGCTTGATGCGGATGAGACAAATGAGTTTCGGTTTTTGTGAAGGTTACCGAATTCGGTTACGCGTGCGACTCGGGCTGAAACACAGATGACGCGTTACGTGAGGGGCACATCACATTTCGAAATGCTTAAATCTGTTTGTTTTCAATCAGTTCTTTGTACTCCTCAGTTTTGAGTGAAATCAGTCTTGAAAAACCAGAAATCTCTCCAAGCATCTACTACTATCTCCAAGAGGCTATACCTAAGCTAACACTAAACCCTTCACCGTGGAGTCAAAGCAGCCTCGCATGCCCATGCAGCATTTCTGTGCATGCGAGCTGCCGTGTGAATGCCGGCTGAGTGTGATTGTGTGGTCGTGCTGCGGTTGCGTGCAGGTGGATGCCGTGGAACTTCCTGGACGGCAGCCTCGCCAACTACCTCAGAGACTTCTCCGCGCTCACCAACCTCAACACTCTGTGAGTCGCGCCCGGATTCGTGTGGCGTTGCCAGCCATCAATCACGTGAGGAGCTCTAGTTTGAGTGCGGCACCTCAGGCCACATAGCGGTGATGACGCAGCCCCTGACGCTTCTCCTCTTTCCGCTGCATGTGCGTGTGCGTGTGCGTGTGCGTGTCCGTGTGCGTGTGCGCGAGCGTGAGCGTGAGCGTGAGCGTGTGCGTGAGCGTGTGCGTGTGTGTGTGCGTCCCTCATCTGCCTACCAGAGCCATGCAGTACATGTACTTCTCGGGGTCACTACCGAGTGTGCTCACGAATCTGCCCAGCCTCACCAGCATGTAAGTTCACACTGATGCAACCTGCTTTGAGTTCAGCAACTGCCTGACTCTCGTCCCTGGGCACGAGCATAGCCCTGTGCTATCAGGGGGACCTCCTTGACTCTCCCATGCTAACTCCTATTCCCCCGCTCATGCTAACTGTGCTATCTCCGTCGCTCTCATCCCCCGCCCCTTCCCTCCCTCCTCCCCACCTCCCCCCCCCGGGTACAATTGAACGTCTAAGTGCCTGTGCGCTGCTCTCACTCCTCGCCTCCAACTAACCCTCCCTAACTGGGCCACACCCCAGGTCGCTGCGCTTCAACTATCTCACGGGGTCGCTGCCAGCGAGCATCACCAAGATCAAGTCGCTGGACCTCACGCAGAATTACTTTGTTGGCTCGCTGCCTTCGGGCACCTGGTCCTACTGTGCCGCCGGCAAGAACTGCCTTGCAAGCGCCGGCAACTGCCAGAACTCTGGGCAGCGCAGCTCGTGCAGCTTTTGCGGAAGCGCTGACGGCACGGGCACGCTGTGCGCATTGGGGCAAGCGTGCATGCCGAACGCGGACACGAGGATATCAGCGAAGCAAAACAACTTCGGGACTGAGCTCGCCCTGGCGTGCGTTGACCAGCCCATCACCATGAACGCCAATGACGGTCAGTGCAGTGCCCCCTTCCCCCCCGCCCAGTACTCCTGCTCAATCTGAAATACCTGTTTCAAATGCAGAGTGTGTGCTTTACTCTTGCCTTGATGCTGCTCCACACCTCTCAACGCTGCCTATCTGCCGGTTGCGAGTGAGGAACACAAGATTGCAAGCCATCAACTGCTCCCCTGCCTTACCGCGCTTACGCCCAGTGAGTTGCGCCTCGCTCATTCCCCACCTCGCCTCCTTCCCCTCGTATCCCCTCCCTTGCCTTCCCCCCGGCAGCCATCAGTGGCGGCGCTGCTTGCCATCAAGGCGGCCATGGGTCTCACCTTCACCAACTGGGCTGCCACCAACCCGTGCCGCCTGGAGGGCGCCACTGCCAAAGCGGGCCAGTGGAGCAGCGTCAGCTGCACTTCCGAGGTCCGCGCCTTCATGATGTGAGTGCTGGTGGCAAGTCAGGGTGCGAGTGCCGGCAGCAAGTCAGGGTGTCGGTGCTGTCTGTTAGGCAGGGGCGTGCGGCTGTTCATCTAAGTCCCCACTCCTGCACTGTCTCCCTTTACTTGCCTCACCGTTCCCTGCTTCACTGCATGTGTGTGTGTGTGCGCGTGCGTGCGTGCGTGCGTGCGTGCATGCGTGCGTGCGCGCGTGCGTGCGTGCGTGCGTGCGTGCGTGCGTGCGCGCGCGCGTGTGTGTGTGTGTGTGTGTGTGTGTGTGTGTGTGTGTGTGTGTGTGTGTGGATGTATGCAGCAACCTGGACGCTGCAGGACTCGTGCGCAAGAGCTTCCCTTCAGACATCACCAAGCTCACGGGTCTGGGCATCGTGTGAGTGCTCTCTGCTGCTGGGGGGGCCAGACGGTCGCGTGCTGCATTGCATGGTCCAGAATGAGGTGTTGCTGCGTTCGCTACCTCCTTGCAATCGCACCACATACGTCTCGAAAAGAAAGAGTGTGGCATGTTTGCGAGACTTCTGTGCATGCGCTGCTGCTCTCAGCTGGAGGGCTGCCATGTGCACGCGGGCTGAGCACAATCTCAACGTGGCATTGCTGCGTGTGCTGCGCCTGCTGTGTGTGTGGCGTGTGCTGTGCGTGCTGCTGTGTGCTGCTGTGTGCTGCTGTGTGCTGCTGTGTGCTGCTGCGGCTGCTGCGTGTTGCTGTGTGTGCTGCTGTGTGCTGCTGTGTGCTGCTGTGTGCTGCTGCGGCTGCTGCGTGTTGCTGTGTGTGCTGCTGTGTGCTGCTGTGTGCTGCTGTGTGCTGCTGTGTGCTGCCGTGTGCTGCTGTGTGCTGCTGTTTGCTGCGTGCAGGTGGATGCCGTGGAACTTCCTGGACGGCAGCCTCGCCAACTACCTCAGAGACTTCACCGCGCTCACCAACCTCAACACTCTGTGAGTACCTCCGGATTCTCATGGTGTTGTCAGCCATCGATGTAACACGTCGACCAGCTGCCAAGTCACATTGCTTAGCTGTCGAGTTTGGGGTGGCCGCTTAGGCCACATTGCGGTGCTACTAACGCCCCACCACCTCTGACATGTCTACTCTTTCAATTGCGCTTGTGTGCGCCCCTCATCCACCAGCGCCATGCAATACATGTACTTCTCTGGGTCTTTACCAAGTGTGCTCACGACTCTGCCCAGCCTCACCAGTATGTAAGTGCCCAACATAGCCACCTCCTCTGACTAGTATCTGTAGAGCAGGCTGTCCTTCCCGCTCCCTGCGCCTCCATATTCCACCACTGTGTGCTCCACATTCTCACTCACTTGCTGCCCTCTACCGTGATTCTCCACCTTCCATAACGCTCCGTGCTGCCCACCCTGCAGGTCGCTGCGCGCCAACTACTTGACGGGGTCGCTGCCAATGAGCATCACAAAAATCAAGTCGCTGGACCTGAGCCAGAACTACTTGGTGGGCTCCATGCCCGCGGGCACCTGGTCCTACTGCGATTTGGCCTACAACTGCCTCTCCAGCGTTGGCAACTGCGGCAGTGCGTACATGCCGCGCTACTCGTGTGCTTTCTGTGGCAGCGCTGACGGCACGGGCACGCTGTGTGGAGTGGGCAAGGCGTGTGTCCCGGACTCTGAAGCTCGGATTGCGGCAAAGCAGTCGAACCTGGAGGAAGTGGGGCTGATATGCTTGGACCAGCCAACCATCATGGACTCCGTTGACGGTCAGTGCAGTGCCGCTCCCCATCCCGATCTCCTCCGCATCATCCCCCGCATCATCCCCCACTACACACTACACCCTGTGCTGCTTCTGCGCCACTACCCCCTCCGTCCACCCCTGCAAGTGCTTGCTGCCCCTCCGGTCCCACGCCTGCTATTTCGTCATCACATGAGTCTTGTGCCCCTGCCACATTGCCATGCACACTCGCGTTCCACCCCCTTGCAGCCTCTGCCCTGCAGAACATCAAGACCGCTCTGGGGGTGACCTTCACCACTTGGAACGCCTCTGCACCATGCCGCGCCGCTGGATCCACGGTGACCTTTGCGGGTGAATGGAGTGGCGTCGTGTGCACGGGGAGTGGCAAGGTGGCCAGCATGTGAGTGCAAGGCCTGCCGTCAACCACACTATGCACTCGCTCACACCACGTCAGCGTCACCTTAGCCTCACGCAACCCTGCTTGTCTTGATCATGCTGCTTTGATTGCCTGCATGTATTCTCCAACCTACTCCACTCCACTCCACTCCACTCCACTCCACTCCACTCCACTCCACTCCACTCCGCTTCAACACGTGCGCGCCCTGCTGAAACATCTGCACACCTGGCGTTTCTGGTGACATTTGCACGCAAACTCTTTCTTTCATCAGAAACTTGGCGAGCGCAACCCTCAAGCGCTCACTGCATGCCGACGTCTCCAAGCTCACGGCTCTTACCTACCTGTGAGTTGCATCTGCTTTGTTTATGCCGTTTTATCTGTTGCTGTTCAATAAGGCAACGGGTTAGGATGGCATTCGGTCGTCCAATGGACGGTCCAGATGTATTGAAGCTGGTAGATGTTGCATTGGATCAGGGTTCAAGCGCAGCTGCCTCACCTGCTCGCCCCTCTGCCCGCCCCTCACAGCTCCCTGTCGAAGAATCTCCTCAACTACCGCCTCGATTCCTTCACCACCAACCTGCGTGCCTTGCCACTGCTGGCTGACATGTGAGTGCCACTGCTGGCTGACATGTGAGTGCCACTGCTGGCTGACATGTGAGTGCCATGTGAGTGCCACTGCTGACCGACATGTGAGTGGCAGTGCTGGCCGGCATGTGAGTGGCAGTGCTGGCCGGCATGTGAGTGGTAGTGCTGGCCGGCATGTGAGTGGCAGTGCTGGCCGGCATGTGAGTGGCAGTGCTGGCCGACATGTGAGTGGCAGATTGTGGGCGGCAAGGGAGGGGAGGGGTGAGAGCATGTGATGATGGCTCATGGTGGCGAGCCACCGAGGCTTGGGGGCACGAGACTCGTGCTGCTCTTATTTCTCACCGCACCTTTGCTCCCACCCCCTGCTCATCTCCTTCTCTTCTCATTCGTGAACAAGTTTCCTCTGGTTGACTGGCGTCGCCATTCCTGCACGACCATCACCCCTTCCACGTGCTGCCACTCACCTCATCGCCCTTCTCATCGTCTGCTCCCCTCGCAGCCGCCTGCACTACAACTACCTGTTTGGCGAGATCCCCTCGTACCTCGTGGCCTTGCCAGCACTAACTCAGTTGTGAGTGTGCCGGCAAGGCATGCTTCGCATGGCCATGTGCTGCATCGCACCACTTCCCTCTCCCGTCACCGCCGCCCTCTCATCCATTTCTGTTTACCCTACTCCTTCTACATTACCCCCTTGCTGCACTCCCCCTTGCCCAGTGGCCGTGTGAGCAACTACCTCATGCGCACTGCTCTCTCTCTCTCTCTCTCTCTCTCTCTCTCTCTCTCTCTCTCTCTCTCTTTCTCTCTCTCTCTCTCTCTCTCTCTCTCTCTCTCTCATGCCTGCACTTTCATCGTGTGGCGATGTGCTGCTTCGTACTGTTTCTCTCCCTCCTTTGCCCTCCCATCCACTCTACCCACTCACTCAGTTCCCCCCGTTCGCTGTGCTCCCCCTTGCCCAGTGGCGCTGTGAGCAACTACCTCATGGGCACCGTTCCCGCGCTCGCCACCGGGCTGCGCACCATGGACCTGCGCAACAACTTTCTCACGGACCTGCCAGCTGTCGCCTACACTTGGTGCGGCGCCAGCGCCAACTGCCTTGTTACGCCCTCCAAGTGCAACACTGCCGGCACGGCTCAGCGGCCCGCAGCGGAGTGTGTCTACTGTGGCACCAACGGTGTGCCGCCGCTGTGCTGGGGTGCGGGCGGCGTGTGCACGGTGAATGCGTCTGCACCCGTGGCGGCCGGCACAGTGAACAGCGCATCGCAGCCCGTGCTGCCCCGCACGTGCGTCAACAGCCCCGTGGTGGGCCTGAAAGAAACCGCAGGTACGCAGGGCGCAGTGGGGAAGGCTCGTGGGGCCAGGGGGCAGGGGCAGGGCGCAGGGGGCAGGGGGAAGGAGACAGGGGGTAGGGGGCATAGCGCAGGGGGCAGAGGCGGGGGGGGAAGGGAGTTGTGGGGGGGCGGGGGGCAGGTGTGCGAGCAGCAGCAGCAGACAAGGTGATGGATGGGGTGGGTGTGTGTGATGACGGTGCAGCGGCGTGGCGTGGTGTGATGACGGCAGTGTGCGTGGTGCTGGTGCCCAGGGCACCCACCACAGAGCCCATGCCCATGCCCCACCTCCACTTGCTCACCGGCTCTGTTGGGTTCCCCCCCCCCTCGTTGTTCCCTCTGTTTCTCATGATGCCCCTTCTCCCGCGTGCCCCCCTGCAGCTATGCTGGCGATCAAGTCATCACTGGGCGTCACTGTGAGCACGTGGGCGGGCAGTGTGCCGTGCGCCATCAAGGGGCTGAGCACCACGGCCACGGTGTGGAGTGGCGTGCTCTGTGACGACACGGGCAGTGTCGTCAGCATGTGAGTTGGGGCAGTGTCGTCAGCACGTGAGTCGCCATGATTCACTGTAAGCTGCCGTGGCATGAGAATTCTCATCGGCACGGCAGTGAGCGACGCCTTGTCAGCTCAGCATGGCCCGAGAAGCCAGTGACTGCACATATCTCTGCTTCACAAACATGTGTGCAGCAGGTGTAGCATTCGTTCAATGGTTTCAGGTACAATTGCAATTGTATTACGACAATGTGCTTTTTCAACGTGCTTTTGCTAATCTGCCCAAGTGCTGTTTCATCTATCCTCTCACACATGTTCACAATCTCATGTCCATCAGAACAATGACAATCGCAAATCTCAAAGGCTCACTGCCGTCAGATATCGCCTCACTCACAGCTCTCACCTACCTGTGAGTGCCGTCCGCTATGCCCTGTGAGTGCCGTCCGCTATGCCCTGTGAGTGCCGTCCGCTATGCCCCGTGAGTGCCGTCCGCTATGCCCTGTGAGTGCCGTCCGCTATGCGCTGTCAGTGTCCATGCAGTTGACAATCACTGCCTCGCTCTCCATGGAACTGCCTGCTCCAGCGCCTTTTCCATTCCATCCCGCCTGCATGAACTGATTCCCATACTCCACATACGTGCCCAGGCGACCCTCCATGAATGCACGCACGTGATACTCAAGCATAATGGCCTCGCCTCTCCCACCTTGTGCTCGCCCCTTGCAGCAACCTGCAGTCGAACCTCTTCCACCAACGCCTCGACTCCTTCACCACTCACCTGCGAGCCTTGCCACTCCTGGCCGACATGTGAGTGCTGGCCGACATGTGAGTGCTGGCAGACATGTGAGTGCTGGCCGACATGTGGGTGCTGGCAGACATGTGAGTGCTGGCCGACATGTGAGTGCTGGCCGACATGTGAGTGCTGGCAGACATGTGAGTGCTGGCAGACATGTGAGTGCTGGCAGACATGTGAGTGCTGGCTGACATGTGAGTGCCCAACTGTGGCTGGGAAGGGCGGATGTGGGGAGATGTGGGGGGCGAGCAGGAGGCGGATGCTGCTGGGAATGTCCCGTCCCGTCTACCCACTCGTCCATTTCCCCACCTTGCTGCCCTCCTCCTTACCCAGTGGTGCTGCCTGCGACCAGGATGCAGATGCTGCTGGGAGAGTCTCGCCTCAGATTGTCTCACACTTCACTCTCAATCGTCCAACCTCTGTTTTTGCTCACGCCTGCACAAGTTTTTTCCTATTAGGGTGCACCAGTCGTCATGCCTGCACGAGCCTTTCCACACACTGCCACTCTCCTCATGGCCCCCCTCATCGCTACCCTCATCGCTACCCTCATCGCTACCCTCATCGCTACCCTCATCGCTGCCCTCACCGCCCTCATCGCTGCCCTCATCGCTGCCCTCATCGCTGCCCTCATCGCTGCCCTCATCGCTGCCCTCATCGCCCTCATCGCTGCCCTCATCGCTGCCCTCATCGCTGCCCTCATCGCTGCCCTCATCGCCCTCATCGCTGCCCTCATCGCTGCCCTCATCGCCCTCATCGCTGCCCTCATCGCTGCCCTCATCATCTGTGCTCCCCTCGCAGCCGCCTGCACTACAACTACTTCTTCGAGGACATCCCCTCATTCCTTGTGGGCCTCCCAAAGCTCACTCAATTGTAAGTCTGCTGATGGGAAACCATGCACTGTATGGCTGTGCGTTGCTTTGAAACGCCGTCCTTTCATCTCGCCTCTCCTCCTCGTGGATTTCTTCTTACGCCGCCATTCACCCACGCACAACCCCCCTCCCCCCTCGCTGCTCTCCCTGGCACCAGCGGCATGGTCTGTAACTACCTTACAGCATCACAAAAAACCTGGGTTTTTGAAGGGGGTTCGAAGGGGTGTACATTTCAGGTGTTTTGGTTGGCGAAGTTCCGAAACGAAATCGCGACCAATCACGGACCGAAATCGGACCGCGTTTGTTTGTTGGAGTTGGATAGCAAGTTCGGAATGTCGTACATTGTCGGTTTTTCGTGGCTTGCCAAAATGATTATCAATTTGGATTGGATTGTTTTGGCCTTGACTTCAAGTAAGTTTGACAGTGCAGAATTAAGCTGCCTATTTTATTACTAGATAAATGCATCACATATGATACTTATTTAGGAGATAGGTACTGTCCAGATGGAACGCCTTCACCACATGGACGTGGCGAAGCAGCGCTTCAAGCGGAATCACGGAGTACGCATACACTCCAGTCGTCCACTTGAGGCGAGTGCATCCAGTTGCAGCATCCTCCCCACACGAATTCCAATATCTAACGTAAGCCAGCTCCTCCCTCTCTCCACGGATTTTGGTGTGGAACAGCAGCAGCAACCTTGCGTACCACTCCTCTCTCCGACCGTACCTTACACCCTCTACTGCAACATCCGAGTACCACGGCCGCTCAAAATAGTCAGGTGTCGCCCGAACGAAGTGAGAAACCCTTGAGAAGCTGGCATCATCTGCCGCTGGGATGGCCAACGATGCATGGGCCTGCACAACAATTGCAGTGTGTGATCAGTTTAGGGTTTGGGGCACGAAAAGAATGATTGTATGATCCACGAAGTACTTACCCTGATCTTGGGGGCGCATCCTGCATAACGTACTAGCGCATCCTTGAGGGCAGCTTGTGCAACAGGGTGTTGCATGGCCCACTTCCTTGCAAACCAGTTGGTGGAGGTGGGTTCTTCTGGTAACTCCACAGGGAGTAAGTAGGACTCTTTGATAAGAGTCCTTGTGCCTGTCTCAATGGCCTGCCAACAAACAGTGGCGACTTTATTACATTATGCATGCATATCCTTGCAATTCAATCACTAGACAGGTTTACCTGCCGCATGGCAGTGTCCCGGCCAAGGGGAGTATCCACCGGCACAACGTCCGGGATGCGCCTAGCATGGAACTTCATAATCTGCCCATCTACATTGCGCTTGTTGGACCGCCGGTAGATCCTCTTTACCAACGGGCCATGCAAGTGCTCGAACATGTTGGTGCTGAATTCCGTGACGTGTCCAGCGCGGCGAATGGAGTCGATGTAGTGCGACATGAGATGGGTTTTCACAAGGCACCAAGAGGATGGCTGCTTTGGGAAAGCAGCCTGCAACTGCTCAACCAGCCTGATGGGAGTGGGAGTTGACAGCATATGCAAGGACATGAGAGTCTAGTACTATAGCCTACTGCAGCCTACTTTATTTGATATACTATCATGTTTTATCAGCAACAACCTGAGAAGATAGGTTACTACAACAGCTTAAGTGTCTTGGCCAGGCATTCATGCAATGCTTAAGGGTGGTACATGCATGTTAATAGTACCGGGAGGTCTTCTTCTTGAGATCCCGCAGGGACCGCTCGGTGTGCCCCGTTGGCTGGCAACACAAGAGGTACCAGCCAAGGTAGGCACGAACAGCATCCATCTGGGGCTGGCGAAGCAGGCCAGCAAAGACAAACACCATGACCTGCAAATTGCGGGGTTTATGACGGCAGGGGGGCATGAGAAGTTGAGCAAACGGGTTTGGTGGCGGAATTGTTGCAAAGCAGGAGAGAGGGTACTGAGATGCAGCAGGGGGTGTGTTGTAGTCTAGAACCGGCAAGCTGCTTCTGCATGGTGCATGCTATCGCACAAGATGATCACATGCACCATGGCTTGCACACCTGCATGACGGCCCTGTGCTCATAGGCCGCGACACATGCTCCACTCTCGAAGTACGCGCTCTCTGGCAGGCGCAGGTGGTTCAGGCGCGTGCGGTCGCGAATGAGGGACAGGCGCCTGCGCATACACAACAGTTCAAGGCCGGCACAAATGCAGAGACATGTAAGTAGGAGGAGAGTGCGTATTGGAGTGTTGTTGACAAGAAACTAATCCCCCAAGGCACTGACCTGTCCATCTGCTTCACGCGCCGCTTCTTCATCTTGCGCACGACAGCCACAATGTGGCTCATCATGCCCAGGTCCGCCTGGTGCATGATGTCAGGCATGATAACGAGGTAGGGATTGCCCCACACGGTCCCTGGGACATCCCACTTCCACAGCACACACTGGCGGAGGGGTTGTGGTGTGGAATGGTAGAGAAGGGTATATGAGAGACTTGGCCAACATGTGGGGCAGTGCAATGGCAGTGCACATCTCCCCCTGGGTTTAGCAACACGGAGTGCATAGACTACAAATTAGCGAAGGGGACAGGTCGCTCACCTCAACCGGGTAGGTCGAGTAGGTCTTGCATGGGTCGGCCTGGCTTGATGTCAACCCAGCCGCCTCATTCACGATCCATTGCTGCTGTTCAGGCGTGCGCGGCGTGTTCCGTGCCTTGACAGCAACCAAATGCTCCTGGTGTAGCACGGGGGGTTGGAAGGGATGAACAGGTAAGGGAGGTAAGATTAGGAGGTCCGTCACGTGCCATTCAGATGACGATGGTGCTGAAGGCGCGCAGCTGGCATGTTTGCTCACCTTTGCAGCATAGCAGATGCTGCACGGCATCCGCGATCCATGCGAGAGTGTGCAACTGATCTTGCCGCTCTCGGGATAGTCGCACACCCAGGCGTACAGCAGTGGCCGCACTGTTTGCCAATCGCTGAAAGGGTCCTTGAGACGGAGGCCGCTGCGAGGAACGGGTAGAGTGGGAACAGCAACAGCCAGGACGACTCTGTGCATCAGCGAGGAGGGGCAAAGGTTGATGCAACATACAAAAACGCTGCGCACGCTATGCTGTTGCTACGGTGACGACATAGCATGACGGAAATCGAGTACGGACCTGTCCATGCCATCAAGAAGCGGCTGCAGCACGGTGATGACGCATCGCTGGAAGAGCATCACCTTCTCGACGGCAGTTATTGCAGAAGGGGGGATAGGAAGGAGAGCAAGTAGCGTGTGCCCGGCTTTCCCCCATCGCTTGGCCTGGGAGATGTTGGCAAGCGTCATCATGAGCGGCCACGCCTTCTTCCGGCCGTTGTTGCTCATGTGCGTCACATCTGAATATAGGATGATACCCCCCACGACTTCGGACCATCCGAAGTGTTCCTGCATTGCACGACAAAGACGGAAACAACACACGGTCAAACACCATCAAGGTAAAGTGTCGCCAGGCGGATTGAGCCTGATACAAAAAACTCCCCACGAAGATGACGCACTGAAGATGCTGCCTACACATCAGCGCATCAACGGACGCATGCGCACGCGTGTGGTTTTGGGTGGCAGCGGGGTATTTACATACCTGAGCATCGTTCCACCACGTTCCTGTTTCTGGCGTGGTATAGCGACGCTCGCCTGTGTCAGGGTCCTCATCAACACGAGCCTTGAGCTTGAAGCCGGGTGCGTTGTTGGTGTGCCCAAACAGTTCAGCAAACGCCTGGAGTGCGGGATCAAGAGCGGGAGAGAACCAAACCCTGGTTTAGTGGCGGGAGCGTTTCACGGGCCAGATCGCACACATGCCTAACAAAGGCAACATTCCCAACAAGCTCCACAAGGATGCGGAATCTGCAGTTCGCATCCACGGTTCCAGAGTCGGCTTACCTGCGCGGAGTTCTGGAAGAGGAGGCACTGTGGCGGATGACCCTCAATCTCGAAGGTCGCCACTGACCATCCGCGATTGAGCCCTACCAAGCGCTCCATCTCGAACCGCTCCAGATCCTTGCAGTTCCGGATCTCTGAGATCACAAGAGGCGCAAGGCCGGGCTCCACCACGAGCTGAAGCAGGCCATTGATGTCGATCTCCGCCATGCCCATTCCGCCATTTACGCGCCTCACGAAATGCAGCAGTTTCAACGCAATCGGACTGAGGGGCGTCGCATTGCTCTCCCCGGAAATGATTGTCGGCGGTGCCGCGTGACTCACTCCAGGGCGGCACCCCTGATGCTCACTCGTATCATCTGCAGGTGTTTCTGGTGACGGTTGATGCTCAGATTCAGGAGCCCCCACGTTCACAGCCGAGGGTGTTGCGTCCTCGTCAGCTACCGGGACGCGAGGAGGACCATTCACACCGTCGGTATAGGACGCGTTAGACGCGGTAGGGGAAGCGGGAGCAGCGGGAGCGTCCGACAGAATGTCGTGGACGAATAGCAGTGCGTGTAGACCGGCTGACGGTGCAGATCGCGAGGGCCTTGCCACGGCGGAAAGGCCTTGACAAGGGGTCCGCCGTGACTTATGACCGCCATAAACTTGGGCGTTGGGGAACCATCTGTTGCAGAACTCGCAGACGACGCCAGGCAAGGAGCCCATGCTTTACGGATCTGTCTAAGTGTTGAGAAATGGCCTGTGAAGCAACTAGCGTCGTGGGAAGCTTGAGAAGGCATTAAGTACACCGTTCAAGAAGGCTGTTAATGCAACCAGGTCATCGCCAAACCGCGCACTGTCGAAGGCGGCTTGTATCACTGCACGACTGGCACTTGAGCGGGCCGCTTAACGATGTTTGGGACTGGCAAACGATGTTCGAGCCGCGCGGTCGTGACAAGGCACGGTACAGACCGCTCACAGCACGGATCGTCTTCCCTACAAGGCGTGTCGCCCCCGTTTAGACAGACCACGTCGTGAGCAGCGGGAAATGCGCCTGATCTTAAGACGGTGGGTTCTGTGTGTGCGTTGCGAGCATGGTGAGAACGACGTGCCTGTGGATTCACGCACCCTTGGTGCATGAGAGTCGAGTGGGATGAGGAAGAGCGGGAAGAGATCCGTTTGGATTTGTGATTCAGTCGCGAAGCGTTATAGGGGGGAAATCGCGCACACGTAAGTGAGCGCATAGTGTTGCGCTTGACCATAGCCCAAATACAATGATAGTACATTGTAGAATTGTTTTTTCTCTACACAGTAAAGTCTTTGTTGATAACTAGGACATAGTCATATGAAAAGACCTGCTCGATATCCACCCCTAGTTGACAACGTGACAGTCTGAACACCATATCCTCTCATCTCTTGTGTGATCTGGCTACATACGGGAAGTACACAAGAACTTCGTGCCCTCACGATAACGCATCGCCGCTTGTGCGTTGGGCCTCTCATTCATACCCCTTAGAGGCACCTACTTGAATATCTGTCTAAGGCTAGAGGACAATCCAACACCGTACCACAACGGACTCACCTTGTTGCGCAACACCCAAGGCCTGACCGCTACAGCGTCGCCTGTTTAGACGCTGCGGTCGACAACGCACCCTCGCTCGTGCGTTGGACCTGTGCTTCATTCCACACCCTCTATACACCATGTCGAGGGCCCACGCAAGGATAGAGCCCAAGCCAGCACCATTCCATTACGGATTCACCATCTCGCGCAAGCCCTGTATGTCTGCGAACGCTGCAACGTCGCCGCGTTGGAACAGCGCTGTCGATAACGCACCCTCGCTCGTGCGTTGGACCTGTGCTTCATTCCACACCCTCTATACACCATGTCGAGGGCCCACGCAAGGATAGAGCCCAAGCCAACACCATTCCATAACGGATTCACCATCTCGCGCAAGCCCTGGATGTCTGCGAACGCTGCAACGTCGCCGCGTTGGAACAGCGCTGTCGATAACGCACCCTCGCTCGTGCGTTGGACCTGTGCTTCATTCCACAGCCTCAATACACCATGTCGAGGGCCCACGCAAGGATAGAGCCCAAGCCAACACCATTCCATAACGGATTCACCATCTCGCGCAAGCCCTGGATGTCTGCGAACGCTGCAACGTCGCCGCGTTGGAACAGCGATGACGATAACGCACCCTCGCTCGTGCGTTGGACCTGTGCTTCATTCCACACCCTCTATACACCATGTCGAGGGCCCACGCAAGGATAGAGCCCAAGCCAGCACCATTCCATTACGGATTCACCATCTCGCGCAAGCCCTGTATGTCTGCGAACGCTGCAACGTCGCCGCGTTGGAACAGCGCTGTCGATAACGCACCCTCTCTCATGCGTTGGACCTGTGCTTCATTCCACACCCTCTATACACCATGTCGAGGGCCCACGCATGAATTTACACGCCAACACCACACCACATCTCCATTCCAGTTGGCACTAGTACACGTCGTGCCTGAACAAGTTCCAACGACCGGTATCCGTCGCCAACCCTGAATGTGTTCTCAGTATAGCATTCCATAGTCCACGAGTTGGTAGGTCAAAGAGCGTGTCCGATGCCAGATGCACTCCCTAGACTTAACACAACATGACACCACAAGCGGCCAAGTTCAATACAAATGGTTTTAGTTGTTCTTTGCAAGTGTATTCTGCTCCTATGTTTAAATTTGATCAATGCACATTGGCACTGTATTTTGCAGGATGCGATGATTGGTGGTGTCGAAACGGTACTAGATTCTGCGGAGATTGATGCGAGCGGCGCTGATTGGCCGACGCATCTCAAACGACCCCCCTCCCCATGACCGGACCAGCCAAGCTGGACATTCGCCGCGGAAGCAGCGGCTGTGATCCCGCGTTTAGTGGGTTATTGATCGGGTGGCTAATCGTAGACCGTCCGATTGTGGCTGTCTGCTTACAGTCCCCTCTCTAGACTCGCAAACCACCCCAACGACCGTCGTGCCCCACTCACCATCTTCCGTCACCCTCATACCCACTACCTTGACGCCGCTCGATGCTGAACACAGGTGTTTCCAGATCGCCAGTGAGTCAGAGTAGCGACGAAGCAAAGGGCTGACGCCATGTGCTTAGTAGCTACTTCTTCAGTTGTAACCGTACCTGAGATTTAGGGTGAGACAGTATAGGCTTGACCGGGACGGAGTAAATTAGTAACAATCCTTTCGGCTATTTTCTAAAGCTGGCTAAATAATCCCGCAAGTTATAACTTGCATTCATACAACCCTCATGACACGTGCAACTCGGCAAACAGAAAAGGAGAAGGAGCAGGCAAAACGACGCACGACACGGCGGATGTCGATACAGACCGACCATGAGGGTGGGGCCAGATCTAGGGCTACTAAAGCGGCCGCCGCGCAAACCAACCAAAGGAAACGTGCGGCGGGGAAGAAGGCTGAGGTTGGAACGAAGAAGTCCGGGAAGAAGGCGGAGGACAAGGGGAAGCAACCAACGGCACGCAAGCGTGTTTCGGCCGTGAAGAGCGATGCGGGTGTTGCCACTGCTGCCCTCGAGCCCGGTCCTTCCGACGACGGCACCATCGGCGGGAACGAAGACCCTGGGCGTGGCGGCGTGAGTGTTGCCGTCCGGCCGGGGGACAGAGAGGGCTTGGCGACTGGAGGAAAGCACGGCGAGGCTCCCGGCGACGACCAGGCCGCAACTGTGGTGTCCGTGGCAGAGGCATCACAGCAGCATATGACGCTGCTCCCCCCGCCCGTGGTCGAAGTATCTGCTGCAGTGATAGATAAGGAGAAGAATGCTGCGCACGATTGCACGGAGGAGCCGAAACACGACATTGCCGACGTCGGTGGATCTCCTCCCTCTGGGGGACGCGGGAGGCGTAGGCAGAGGAAGAGCGATGGGGAGGAGGAGTATGACACCCCCGTGGCCGAGGACATCCCCATACGCGCAAAGAGGAGGCAGACGACAGCCAGCGGTGACGACGCCGGTGGTGCTGAAGTTGGGACAACGCGAGGCACCACGGAGCCAAGTGGCTTGGCGACAGATCATGCTTTGCGGCAAAAGGGCCGACCCGGTCCGCGGAAACCATCTAGCGGACAGGGGGGCAAGCAAGCCTCGAGGGGGAAGAGGCCGAAGCGCGGCAAAGAAGGCCCTGGTGAAGCGGATGTTGAGGACGAGGGGGATGGGGAGGAGGAGGCCGAGGAGGATGCGGAGGAGGAGGACGAGGATGCAGGGGAGGAAGAAAAGGACGAGGATGAGCAGGAGGACGACGATGATGAGGAGGAGGAGGAGGAGGAGGAGGATGAGGATGGCGACGAGGGGAAGGAGAAGGAGGACGATGAGGATGAGGATGAGCACGAGGAGGAGGACGAGGGGGATGACGAGCCTGAGGAGGAAAAGAGTGAGGAGGAGGAGGGAGGAGGAGGAGGAGGAGGAGGATGAGGAGGAGGAGGAGGAGGAGGAGGAGGAGGAGGAGGAGGAGGAGGAGGAGGAGGAGCAGGGAGGAGGAGGAGAGGAGGAGGATGATGGTGAGGAGGAGGATGAGGAGGAGGAGGACGACGTGGAGGAAGAGGAGGTGGAGGAAGGGGCGGATGAGGAAGAGGAGGAGGAGGAGGAGCCGGCAGGGAAAGGACGGGGCGCGCGAGGCAGAAGGGGGAGTGGCACAGGGAAGGTGGGGGGCCGGTCTGGTCAATCCCGGAAATGCGGGGCGGTTGACGCAATGCGTGGCGGCCCAGCGGGCAAATCGAAGGCGCGTAAAGTGAAGGTCGAAACTGACCGGGGTGGAAGGAAGCAAGGGAGACAGGGTGGGGCAGGCGATGGAGAAGGAAAGGGAAGGCGCGCGAAAGGGGTACCTGTAGGTTCGGCAAAGAAGGAACCTGCCCGTAAACGAGGCAGCACCCGCCGAAGCACACCGCGGAAAGGGGGCAACGATAAGGAGCAGGCAGCAAAACCGAAGGGACAGCAACGAGGTACGCAAAGTGTCACAAACGCATGGCATAGCTGCCGTGGTTTGTGATGAACAGACCCTAACAACACCGTGTTCCACCCTGTGTTTCCCCGCCGCAGGGCAGTAGAAGGTTGACGAATCGGCTAAACCGGGTAAGGCGTGACTATACACTACAGTTCCCAGCTACACCCCTGTCTGAATCATGCGGTTACTCGTTTGCGTGCATGTGTCCAAATGTACATAGCAGACACCATCTCCGTGCTCATCCTCCGTGTGACTCTCAGCCCCCCGTGTTACAGGCATTGGGCCACCGGTAAGCGTGCAACGGATGCAGCTAACGAAAGGGGCCGGAAGAGCGAGTGTGGCACCGCTATCCACAGGAGCACCAAGGTTCTTCACGCCATACTCCGGCCCGAGCAAAGTCGCTGCGACTGCACCCGGCGCGGCTACAGGAGAGGAATCCGAATCCCCTCCACCAGCCCCCGTCACGCACTCCCCACTCGCCTCTCCCTCTTACCCATTTCGGCCACTACACGCTTCTCCTGTCCGGGGCAGGGCGGTCTCCCCCCTCGCTGGTCCATCGCGCGGGCATCAACCAAGCACTTCTGCCAATCCCTTCCCTGAGCCTCCCTTTCCCCGCCAGCGTGATAGTGTGAGGGCACACGGGGCTGCTGCTGAAGACGTTGATCCCCTTGGCCAGAGAGGGGTTTCTACACACCCTTTTCCGGATGTCATGGATGCGCTGGGCGAAGGTGCAGAGCATGGGCAGTTTGTTACACGAGACGAGTTCCAGCAGCTACGGTCTGAGATGTACGCCATGTTTGCTCAGCTCGGCCTGCGTCGTGGAGCAACTGCCAGCTATGCCGGGGGGACTGCAGTGGTGCCTATGGCTGGTACCCCGCCGCCGATGAGTGCCGTGGACAGGGCACGTGTGCTTGTGCTTCGGGAGACCAACCCATTCCCGGTATGTGGCGGGTTGGGGTTGACGTGGCAACCAGGGAAGGGTTGGGGATGACGTGGCGGTTGGAAAGGGTGCGCGGGAGCGGTGCAGGGCGACACGCGGCTCCACAGGTGGGCGGGGGCTGACGTGGCTCTTTCGGATCTCTGAGTGCGACGTGGCAAGTGGGTTGAGCTGTTGGTGTAGGCGGCGGACGCAAGGGCGTGTGACGTGGCAAAAAAGGTGAGGGTTGAGATATGACGTGGTGGTGTTGAACGGATGCAAGGGAGCGGCGCATGACGGGGCGAGAGCCTTCAGGTGGGTGGGGGGTGACGTGGCATGGGGTGGGTGGGGGGTGACGTGGCATGGGGTGGGTGGGTGTGACGTGGGCGGATGTGAGGGTTGGGGCTGACGTGGCGGTTTGGACGGGTACAGGGGAGCGGCGCGGGACGAGGCGACGCGTGTCCGGTGGGTGTGGGGTGACGTGGCATGGGGAGGGTGGGTGTGACGTGTCATGTGGGGATGGTCGTTGGTGGATTTGGCGGATGCAGGAGGATGTGCCGTGGCAGGATGTGAGGGGTGGGGCTGACGTGGCGGTTTGGAAGGTTACACGGGAGCGGCGCGGGACCAGGCGACACGTGTCAGGTGGGTGGGGGGGTGACGTGGCATGGGGTGGGTGGGTGTGACGTGGCACGTGGGCCTGGTTGTTGTTCCCTGACGTGGCGGATGCAGGAGGGTGTGACGTGGCGGGATGTGAGGCTTGGGGCTGACGTGGCGGCCTGGAAGGTTACACGGGAGTGGCGCGTGACGATGCTGGTCGTGTCAGGTGGGTGGGGGGTGACGTGGCATGGGGTGGGTGGGTGTGACGTGGCACGTGGGCCTGGTTGTTTTCCCTGACGTGGCGGATGCAGGAGGGTGTGACGTGGCGGGATGTGAGGGGTGGGGGCTGACGTGGAAAGTTCCTACAGTCCATCCTGTGGTCACCCGGCCACAGTCATTACTCATAATTTCTCTCTCCCCGTGTCGTGTTGTAAACCCCACACCCCTGCGCAGAGCAAAGCCTACTTAGTGTGCTCTCAGCTCCTGTTTCTGAACCCCCCGGAGAAAATTCAGTATTACCCTGCACCGGAGGAAGTGTTCGAGGCCTTCGCTGTCCACTTGTCTGCCGAGGGGCTAGAGTCAATGAAGCTGCTGTGGTTGCACAACGACAAGTCAACCATGGGTGTTTTCAACCACCAGATGTCATCAACCAGGTCAACAATCAACACCACCCTCAGGCCAGCAACGTACGCCGGCATGGGTCTCTCCGATTACGCCAATGCGGTGGATTGCCTGCCCACTGAGCTACACCCAAAGAAGTGGTTCAACGACGAGCAACTCCTGGCGGAGTACAGAGATGGTATGTGCGTCTCAAACACACCATATCCCCCTGCCCATAAGCCAGTCAGTAGCTACAAATAACCGTGTCGTGGTACTCTGACCCTGTCTCTCACCCCCCCACCTGATCTATCTGCACCCCCTTTCCAACCCATACGCTCCCTCCAAAATGCAGAACAGTGGGCCCTCAACTGGCACTTTGACAAGGCCACCGGAACACCCTTCAGCAACCCCTTGTTTGCTTATGCGTTCAAGCTCTCCTTCAAGAGGAGCGGGGTCGTGTTCACCAAGTTCAAGAGCCGCATGGTGGCATGGGGCCTGTTTTCGGTAAGGAGGTAGATATGTGTCTCTACACCCATGCATCATCCCCTAAACCCCTTGCCTGTACTTCATCTAAATCCCTGGTCGCTTAGGCATTTGCGGTTACGTAGGATGTGTCGTCTTCACCTGGTTCAGCTGGAGCATATACCCGTTACCCCCCCTCATACACCATCCACCCAACCCTACACCACATTGCAGATCGAGTGGCCCCTTCTGCAGGACAAGCGCCGCAAGCGAATTCCGGCCCAGCCGGAACAAAACAGGCCGGACTACTTCGAATGGTGTGACAAGGTCAAACAGATGATACACTTTGCCGTCGTGGAGCGACGCATCCCACACGATCCGGCTCAGGGTGCGTTCGTCTTCCCGAACAAGTTCCTCATCGACGATGGCGACCTTGGAGATGTTGTTCTTGCCCACCGGGCGCTTGCAGGGCCCACCATTGAGTAGGCTATTTCACTAGGTGTTAAAACTGCTTGTTGTTACAATGCTGAATAATGGTTGCTGTAAACCGGAATATTGAATGTAATTCTGAGATCCTCAAGCCCATAAATAAAAAAATAAAATAAAATCTATTTTAAATGATCTGGTCACGAAATTGCACCAAAACGGATTGCGCGCGAATGTCTTCCGGAAAAGCACGCGTGCCAATTTGGAACTTGACCCGAGCCAAGCCTTGTCGCGAGATGTGTGTCGGAGCTCCTATCAAACGACTCCAACCGTCGGTCGAAATTGGGTCCGGATTTTTTTACGCGAAGACAATCGCAATCAAAATTCGTCCAAACTTGGCATAGGGTTTTTGTGATGAGGCTCTGTGCCTGCGCTCGCCACCGGGCTGCGAACGGTGGACCTGCGAAACAACTTCCTCACGGACCTGCCGGCAGTCGCGTACTCGTGGTGTGGCGGCAGCACCAACTGCCTCGTGACGCCCTCCAAGTGTGCCGCTACCGGAACAGCTCAGAGGCCCACGACAGAATGTGCCATCTGTGACAGCACCAATGGCACTGGCCCTCTGTGCACGGTGTCGGGGGGGACCTGCACGGTGGACGCATTTGCAACCGTCGCTGCCGGCACTCTCAACGCCTTGTCACGCCCCACACTGCCCATGATGTGCTTGTTTCCGCCTGTGTCTATGAAGGAAACTGCAGGTAAGCATTGGGCTGTGGGCCTCTGGGCTGTTGACTGATTCCTGTTACCTGTAAGCACGATGCAGGGGGGGCAGTACAGTGGTGTGGTTGCGATCAAATCAGATGCGCCAGTCTCGGTGTGAGCAGGGCACGTGGCATGAGCAATGGGGGTGTGTGAGCACCACACAAGGCAACTGGTGGGGGACGTGCAATGCTTCAGTGGTATTGCGAGGTGAGGGTGGTGAGAGTGGTGGAACTATGGTGCCCGGGGCAGCGGTCTCAGAGCCTGTGCCGCGCCTCCACTTGCTCACATGCTCCTCCCTCCCCACCTTCCTGCTGTTTGCCTTGGTGCCCCGTTCCCCGTGTGCGCCCCTCCAGCCATGCTGGCGCTCAAGTCATCACTGGGCGTGACTCTCACCACGTGGGACGCCACTGTGCCGTGCAGGCTGCCGGGGCAGGTCACCCCGGTCACAGTGTGGAGCAGCGTGTGGTGTGACACCAACGGCAGTGTCGTCAGCATGTAAGTCCGCACGCTGGGCACATGCGAGTGGGTTGGCCAGGTGGACATGTGGTCCTTGAGGTCACAATGCAGTGCCGTGCACGAGTGAAACATGGTCAGCATATCAGGTAACATGGTCAGCATATCAGGTAACATGCATGTGAGGAAGCCTTTGACTGGTGAGCATGGATGAGCATGATGCGGGCAAGCAGAAAGCATCTTCCCTCATTGCCAGTTGTTGCGTGAATGCGCTTGTCCCTGGACATGTGGGCGAGGGGGATGGTCATCAAGCGCATGCAACGCAAGGCGCCTCATCAGTCACATCACATCACATGCAGGCATCTGGAAGCCGCTGTGGCACGGCGTCCATCATAGCCTGCCTGCTACCCATCTGTGCGCCGTACCCATCTGCCCACCACCCTCCTCCAACACGTTGCCACCCTCATCTGTTCCCGTGCCACCCACATCAGAGTTCTCAACGACGCCAAGCTCAAGGGCTCCCTTGCCACTGACATCTCCACGCTCTCTGCTCTCACCTATCTGTGAGTCTCTCGCCTCATATGCTCCGCCTTCTATCATCTGCCTTGCGATTCAAACACTTTCTGCTCTCACAGTGGCTGCATCATATGTCCTGTACCGGCAGCATGCAGTGAATGCCCCCAAATGCACTGCATAGCGCGACCTAGTCGAGTCCTGCTGGATTCACTCGATGTGCATTCACTTGAATCATTGTTATCCTCCCCTGCTGCCTGCCCCTCGCAGCTCCCTGTCGGGCAATCTCCTCAACTACCGCCTCGACTCCTTCACCACTTCTCTTCGCTTCTTGCCAGTGCTGGCTGACATGTGAGTGCTGGCTGACATGTGAGTACCAGAGTGTGACCTGCAAAGGGAGTGGAGGGATGAGAGCTGCTGACTAATGTTAGCGTTTTGTCTCATCCCAGATTTTCAATTTCAACCACTGTCATTCCCGTCCCAATCTTCCAACAATCTTCCTTGCACGTGCTCTCTCTCACCTCATTGCCACCCTCATTGTCTCTGCTCCCCTCGCAGCCGCCTGCACTACAACTACTTGTTCGGTGAAATCCCCTCGTTCCTCGTCGCTCTCCCGAAGCTCACTCAGTTGTAAGTCAGTTGTCCACAAACAGGTCAGTTGCTGCCTTTATGAAACAAGTCAGTTGCTGCCTTTAAAAACAAGTCAGTTGCTGCCTGGACACATGCGTGTCAATTTTTTCACTCCAGTCCTGTTGCACTACCATTTACAAAACCCTTTCTGCATCTCCCTCCCTGCCATCTCCCACGCCCAGCGCGGCAACCTTCAACTACCTCATCGGCTCAGTGCCGGCGCCCGCATCTCTACTGCGCAATCTGGACGTGCAAGGCAACTTCCTCACGGACGTGCCAGCGGGCAACTACACGTGGTGTGGCGGCGCCACCAACTGCCTGCTCACGCCCTCCAAGTGCGCCAGCGGCAGCGTTGGCTCCACTCAGAGGCCGGCAGCAGCGTGTGCCTTCTGCGGCACCAGCAACGGCGTGGGGCCCTTCTGCTGGGGCGCGAGGGGCGTGTGCCTGCCGTCCTTGGATGTGCCGGTCAGCCAGGGCATTGTGAACTCGCCGTCGCAGCCCGTGTGGCCGCTCAAATGTGTGGGCGGCTCCGTGGTGCCCATGGCCGACACTGCAGGTGCGCACTGGGCCCTGTGCCGTGTGCCGTGTGCCGGGAGCTGTGGGCCATGGGCTGTGGGCAGTGGGCAGATCTTGTGTGCGTGGCGTGCTGCTGCCTGTCTTGTCGCAACGACCTCTGCCTGCCTTGTACTTTTGACCACGTTTCTGTCGCCTGCTGCCTCATCAACTGCCTACCCTGTGTGACGCCTTAACCTGCTGGGTCCGTCCGTCATCTAACCTGCCCAATCCCGGCCTTATGTGCCTTCCTGCTACCGCCCCCCCTCCACCATGGCCGCCAGCCATGCTGGCGCTCAAGGCATCACTGGGAGTGACGTTCAACACGTGGGCGGCAACGGTGCCGCGCCTGCTCAAGGGCGCCAGCACGACCGTGCCCACGTGGTCCAAGGTGCTTTGCAACGACCTCGGCCAGGTCCTCAGCATGTGAGTCTCACGCATACCGTAGTGACGCATCGGGTGGTGGTGACGCATCGGGTGGTGGTGACGCATTGGGTGGTGGTGACACATCGGGTGGCGATGACGCTGTGCGTGCGCTGTTGAGGTTGGTGTGGGTGGCAGCAGTGGCAGTTTGGGCGCATGAGAGTGAAGCGTCGTGGGGCTCCTTGAGGCGTGCGAGCAGGCAAGGACGCATGCCCCCACCATGCAAGGAAGCAGTGCTTCTTGAAGCATCTCACTGCGTGGGGAGACGCTACAAAGTCGCATTTCATGCACCATCACATGTCATGGGTTTCCATACAACCCGTAAGGAGCTAACTGCCTCTCACTCTCTCTACCTGCCGTCTGTGCATGGCAGCGAGGTGACAAGCGCAGGGCTGTCAGGAAGCATGCCTGCCGACATCTCCAAGCTCTCATCGCTCACCTTCCTGTGAGTCCTCCTTTTACCAACTTTTAAATCCGCCTCTCCCTCTTCCAGCTTGTAAATGCGTCTCTCCCTCTTCCAGCCTGCAAACGCGTCTTTCCCTCTACAAACCTGTACATGCAGCTCATGCCTCTGTTTTCCCCTCGCCCTGCTGCCTGTCTCGCCCTGCTGTGCGCCAATGGCCCCTAAACCCAGGTCGCTCATGAAGAATCTCTTCCAGGCGCCCCTTGCTGCCTTCACCTCCAACCTCTACGCACTCACCGGCCTCAAGCAGCTGTGAGTCATCCCTACGCCATGCCCAAGCCTCCGCCTCTTGCCTCTGCCTTATTGATTGTCTCTGCTTCCTCCCTTGCTCCCTCTCTTCCCTCCGCACCGCAGCCCCTCACCCCCCCCCCCTTTCCCCCTTCCCCCTTTCCCTCTCCCATGAAATGGTGCCCTCTCTCTTCTTGGACCCGTCACCCTCGCTCATCCACCGCATCTCTACCCCTCACCCTCGCTCATCCACCGCATCTCTACCCCTCACCCTCGCTCATCCACCGCATCTCTACCCCTCACCCTCGCTCATCCACCGCATCTCTACCCCTCACCCTCGCTCATCCACTGCATCTCTACCCCTCACCCTCGCTCATCCACCGCATCTCTACCCCTCACCCTCGCTCATCCACCGCATCTCTACCCCTCACCCTCGCTCATCCACCGCATCTCTACCCCTCACCCTCGCTCATCCACCGCATCTCTACCCCTCACCCTCGCTCATCCACCGCATCGCTACCCCTCACCCTCGCTCATCCATCGCATCTCTACCCCTCACCCTCGCTCATCCACCGCATCTCTACCCATCACTGCCATGCCCTGAACCCACGGCGCTGCCTTCACGGCGCTGCCCCACCCGCAGGTACCTGCAGTACAACTGGTTCTTCGGCCCCGTGCCCTCAACACTCGTCACCATGCCCTCGCTCTCTGTGCTGTGAGCTTGCCTTCCCCTTCCACGCTTGTCACTCGCCCTCCCCTTCCACGCATTCACTCGCCCTACCTTCCATGCTCCTCATCCCCCTCACACACTCACTCGCTGCTGCACGTTTCTGGCCATGCCGCTTCACAAATCGCTGAATTCTCTCATACTCGCTGCCTTCTCCTGTCTCTCATAATCACACGCTGCCTTCCCCTATCTCTCATAATCACTCGCTGCCTTCCCCTGTCTCTCATAATCACTCGCTGCCTTCCCCTGTCTCTCATAATCACACGCTGCCTTCCCCTGTCTCTCATAATCACACGCTGCCTTCCCCTGTCTCTCATAATCACACGCTGCCTTCCCCTGTCTCTCATAATCACACGATGCCTTCCCCTGTCTCTCATTATCACACGCTGCCTTCCCCTGTCTCATAACCACACTCACTCTGCGTTCATTGGCCCGCATTTGCTTCCATCCACCCCAAAAACTCATGTCAAGTGCCATCTCTCATGTCAAGTGCCATCTCTCATGTCTAGTGCCATCTCTCATGTCTAGTGCCATCTCTCATGTCTAGTGCCATCTCTCATGTCAAGTGCCATCTCTCATGTCTAGTGCCATCTCTCATGTCAAGTGCCATCTCTCATGTCAAGTGCCTTTTCTCATCTCACCTCGCACCCTCATCTCACCTCGCACTCTCATCATCTCAATCACCATGCTGCCTCCTGCAGGGGCCTGGGCTACAACTACCTCACGGGCAGCGTCCCGGCGTCCCCCACGATGAGAACCCTGGACCTGCGCGGCAACTTCTTCCACGCTATGGGCTCCATGACGCTGCAGTGGTGCGACGGCCACACCAACTGCTTCGCCACGCCCTCGGTGTGCGGCATGGGCGGCACCACACAGTGCCCCGCAGCAGACTGCGCCATCTGCGGCTCCACCAACGCCGTGCCGCCCTTCTGCGGCGGCACTGGCACGTGCTTGCCCGACTCCGCCGCCGCGGCAGCACAGGGCACGCCCAATCTCATGGGCTCGCCCACGCTGCCCATGGTGTGCAGTGGCGTCCCCATCGATGCAGCTGACGGTGAGCATATGCGGCCATGTCCCCACACCCACACCCACACCCACACCCACACCCACACCCACACCCACACCCACACCCACACCCACACCCACACCCACACCCACACCCACACCCACACCCACACCCACACCCACACCCACACCCACACCCACACCCACACCCACACCCACACCCACACCCACACCCACACCCACACCCACACCCACACCCACACCCACACCCACACCCACACCCACACCCACACCCACACCCACACCCACACAAACACCCCTCTCACAGCCGTTCCACGTGTGCCCCGCTGGCTGCTGTCCAGCTCTCGCGTCTGTCAAACCCCACGCGCGCTCTCAAAATTGAACCTGTCCCCCTTCCCGGCCCCACTGTGCTTTGTGATCGCTCAGGTGCGGTGCTGCTGGCGCTCAAGTCGTCGCTGGGCGTGACGCTAAGTAACTGGAACGCGGCAGCGCTGTGCACGCTGGAGGGGCAGACGCTGCTGGCCTCGCAGTGGGGCGGCGTGCGCTGCACATCTGCAGGCAAAGTGACCAGCATGTGAGTCCTCTCTCATTCACCCACTGCCCCTCATTCATCCACTGCCCCTCATTCACCCACTGCCCCTCATTCACCCACTGTCCCTCATTCATCCACTGCCCCTCATTCATCCACTGCCCCTCATTCATCCACTGACCCTCATTCATCCACTGCCCCTCATTCACCCACTGCCCCTCTCATTCATCCACTGCCCCTCATTCACCCACTGCCCCTCACTCATCCACTGCCCCTCATTCATCCACTGCCCCTCATTCATCCACTGCCCCTCATTCATCCACTGCCCCTCATTCATCCACTGCCCCTCATTCATCCACTGCCCCTCATTCATCCACTGCCCCTCATTCACCCACTGCCCCTCACTCATCCACTGCCCCTCATTCATCCACTGCCTCCCACCCCGGCTGCTGCTCCCCGTTCTGGCCACGCAGTGCACTCACACGGCAGGGGCTGCAGGGCTCCATCCATGCCGACATCTCCAAGCTCACCACCCTCACATTCCTGTAAGCACACCTCACCACCCTCACATTCCTGTAAGCACACCTCACCACCCTCACATTCCTGTAAGCACACCTCACCACCCTCACATTCCTGTAAGCACACCTCACCACCCTCACATTCCTGTAAGCACACCTCACCACCCTCACATTCCTGTAAGCACACCTCACCACCCTCACATTCCTGTAAGCACACCTCACCACCCTCACATTCCTGTAAGCACACCTCACCACCCTCACATTCCTGTAAGCACACCTCACCACCCTCACATTCCTGTAAGCACACCTCACCACCCTCACATTCCTGTAAGCACACCTCACCACCCTCACATTCCTGTAAGCACACCTCACCACCCTCACATTCCTGTAAGCACACCTCACCACCCTCACATTCCTGTAAGCACACCTCACCACCCTCACATTCCTGTAAGCATACCTCACCACCCTCACATTCCTGTAAGCACACCTCACCACCCTCACATTCCTGTAAGCACACCTCACCACCCTCACATTCCTGTAAGCACACCTCACCACCCTCACATACCTGTAAGCACACCTCACCACCCTCACATACCTGTAAGCACACCTCACCACCCTCACATACCTGTAAGCACACCTCACCACCCTCACATTCCTGTAAGCACACCTCACCACCCTCACATTCCTGTAAGCACACCTCACCACCCTCACATTCCTGTAAGCACACCTCACCACCCTCACATTCCTGTAAGCACACCTCACCACCCTCACATTCCTGTAAGCACACCTCACCACCCTCACATACCTGTAAGCACACCTCACCACCCTCACATACCTGTAAGCACACCTCACCACCCTCACATACCTGTAAGCACACCTCACCACCCTCACATTCCTGTAAGCACACCTCACTCACGTGCCATCTTGCCATGCGTGGAGGGTAGTGACAACTAGAATGGGGGATGGGATGCAGGGCGTGCATGGCACGGCATGCCACCATCATTGCGAGCTGGCAGTGCGAGTGTGAGGTGAAAACAAAACACCCATATATGAACTGTGCATCTCGCCCTCCCCCTCTCCCCACCGCAGGGACCTCGGCTACAACCTCTTCCAGGGCCGCCTTGACCTCTTTGCTGCGCCGCTCAAGCCCCTCACCTCCCTCAAGGCGCTGTAAGCCCCTCACCTCCCTCCACCGTGGCACTCCTCCCTCCACCATGGCACTCCTCCCTCCACCATGGCACTCCTCCCTCCACCATGGCACTCCTCCCTCCACCATGGCACTCCTCCCTCCACCATGGCACTCCTCCCTCCACCATGGCACTCCTCCCTCCACCATGGCACTCCTCCCTCCACCATGGCACTCCTCCCTCCACCATGGCACTCCTCCCTCCACCATGGCACTCCTCCCTCCACCATGGCACTCCTCCCTCCACCATGGCACTCCTCCCTCCACCATGGCACTCCTCCCTCCACCATGGCACTCCTCCCTCCACCATGGCACTCCTCCCTCCACCATGGCACTCCTCCCTCCACCATGGCACTCCTCCCTCCACCATGGCACTCCTCCCTCCACCATGGCACTCCTCCCTCCACCATGGCACTCCTCCCTCCACCATGGCACTCCTCCCTCCACCATGGCACTCCTCCCTCCACCATGGCACTCCTCCCTCCACCATGGCACTCCTCCCTCCACCATGGCACTCCTCCCTCCACCATGGCACTCCTCCCTCCACCATGGCACTCCTCCCTCCACCATGGCACTCCTCCCTCCACCATGGCACTCCTCCCTCCACCATGGCACTCCTCCCTCCACCATGGCACTCCTCCCTCCACCATGGCACTCCTCCCTCCACCATGGCACTCCTCCCTCCACCATGGCACTCCTCCTTTCTCCCCAAAGGTCCCCTCGCTCTCATCACTCCCCACTCATGACTCCTGGTAAAGCTCTTCTGCTCAGTGCGCACTGGCGCTCGCCCACCCTGCCACCACCTGCACCTGCCTGCCTGTCATGACTCGTCAGCTTGTGACACTCCTCACTCGCACGCCGTGCACACACTGTGTCTCTCACCATTTCGCTTATCCCCCCTCATCTTTCTCTGTGCGCCCATCCGTCTCAGCTTCTTCCACTACAACTATTTCGCCGGCTCCATTCCCTCTGCCATCGCTACACTGCCTCAACTCACCTCACTGTAAGCCAACCCAGCACCGCCACTCTTTCCTGCATTGCCCTTGCCTGGTTGCCCCCTACTCCCCATACCTAGAGGTCCACGGCCAATGGCATCACCCACCGCCATTCCTTCTCATAACTCTTCCTCTCACTGCCGTTCCCGCCCCCCCCCTCTTTTCTCGCCCACAGAGGCCTCTTCTCCAACTACCTCACAGGCACCGTGCCCATCCCCTCCAAGGCCCTGCTCGCTCTGGACGTCGGCTTTAACTTCCTCTCGGGCACCTTCCCGAAGCTGCCGCTCATGTTCTGTGCGGGCGACAACAACTGCTTCCTCAACTCCACCGCCTGCCGCACCTACGGCATCGTGCAGCGCCCTGCTGGTGCCTGCGCCATCTGCGGCACCGCGGCCGGCCAGGGCGACCTGTGCTTCGGCGGCTCCTGCGCTCCCAACGCGGCTGCTGCCGTCAGTGCCGGCACCGTCAACTCGCCCAACCAGCCGCTGCTGCCCATGTCATGCGCAGGTGTGTGTTTCGCCAATGTTTCACACCATTCTTCTCTCTCACTGTTATCGCTCCTCTGCCTAACCCCGCTGTTCCCCCCTTAGTCATGCCTCCTGCCATGCCTCACCCCTCACGCTCTCTATCTCTCTGCGTGTGCCTGCCGTTTCTCCTTCCAATGCAGACAATCCCGCGGCACCAATGGATGCAGGCTCAGGTGCGTTCATGCCATGCTGCCATGCTGCCATGCTGCCATTCTGCCATGCTGCCATGCATGCACGAATGCATTGCCAGCCTCCATGCTTTCCTTCTCTCGTCCTGCACTCTCGTGCTTTCACTCTCCTTTCTCCCTCTTATATCTGTTTTGCTCACATCCGTCCCTTCCCCCCCCACCCCACACTGCCGCACCAACCGCGGCGGCACTGCTGAGCGTGAAGGCAGCACTGGGGGTGACGTTCACCAGCTGGGCGGCGGGGTCGCCGTGTGCCATTGCCAACTCCACCGTCACCGTCGCTGGCACCTGGACCGGCGTGCTCTGCTCCTCCACTGGCGATGTCCTCAGCGTGTCCGTGCTCCCCGCCTTGTGTCGTGCTCCCCGCCTTGTGTCGTGCTCCCCGCCTTGTGTCGTGCTCCCTGCCTTGTGTCGTGCTCCCCGCCTCGTGTCGTGCTCCCCGCCTTGTGTCGTGCTCCCCGCCTTGTGTCGTGCTCCCCGCCTCGTGTCGTGCTCCCCGCCTCGTGTCGTGCTCCTCGCCTCGTGTCGTGCTTCCCGCCTCGTGTCGTGCTCCCCGCCTCGTGTCGTGCTCCCCGCCTCGTGTCGTGCTCCCCGCCTCGTGTCGTGCTCCCCGCCTCGTGTCGTGCTCCCCGCCTCGTGTCGTGCTCCCCGCCTCGTGTCGTGCTCCCTGCCTCGTGTCGTGCTCCCCGCCTCGTGTCGTGCTCCCCGCCTCTTGCCTCCTTGCCTCCTGGCCTCCTTGCCTCCTTGCTCCCTGCTGCCTCCCTTGTGCTCCACCTGCTTCATGCCGCTCTCCTGTCTTCAAACCTTTCTTCACTCCTTCCTTCTGCATGCTCTCACCTCCACTCGCCCCATCCTCCCCAACCAATGCGTGCAGCAATCTGTCCTCGTCCGGCCTCTTAGGCACCATGCATGCTGACATCACCAAGCTCACTGCTCTCACCTACCTGTAAGTACCCTCACCTTCCTGGCCATTCTATTAACCCCTCGCTCTTTTTGCCTTGCAATGCCAGCGCCGCGTCAGTGTGTGCCCGTGTGTGCGCTCACTTGTTGTCGTCGTGCCCTGCCTGCGCCATGCCTCTGCCAGCAATTTTCATTCATCTCTGCTTTCTTCCCTCTCCGCTCTTCCACCCCTTCCCCCCCGCCCCCTCCAACCCCCCCACGTTTCCCGCCCACCCGTTCAGAGACCTGTCTAAGAACGTGCTGCATGGCAGCCTTGCCAGCTTTGCCTCATCGTTTGCCGGCCTCAAGACACTCCAGCAGCTGTCAGTGCCGCCCCTCACCCACATCACCGTCACCCATACTGCTTGCATCCACTTACTCTTACTCACTTGCTCTCTCATGCTGTGCCCACTCACTCATATTCACCACACACTAGACGCCCTCAAAGCACAGCCACGTAGTGTCTCTTCATGCCTTACTCCGCTCTTCCTTCCTCCACCCCCCTCCAGGCGCCTCAACAACAACTGGTTCGCCGGCTCCCTGCCGCAGACGCTCATGTCTCTCCCCGCCCTCACTCTGCTGTAAGCACCCAAAGCACATGCACACTATTTCAGCCTATTCAAGCAGTTCAAGCAAGCATGCACACTGATTCTCGACCTATCCACAGCGTGCGGCCACCACAGCATGCGTATCACCACATTCACCTGTCCTCTGCTCCTACCTCCCCCCCCTATCCCCCCCTCCCCCCTCCTCGGCGCGGCAGGGACGTGCATGCAAATGCGCTGACAGGGTCGCTGCCGGCCATATCATCGGTGCTGCGCTCACTCTTCCTGCACGACAACTTTCTGGCCGGCAGCTTCACAGCGGCCGCGCTCACCACGTGCGACGCCCGCCTCAACTGCATGACCAGCGCGGCTGACTGCAGCGCTGCCAGCACCATGCAGAGGGCCAGTGCAGCATGCGCCATCTGCGACAGTGCAGTGGCGCAGGGGCTGCTGTGCTGGGGTGGCATGTGCTTGCCCAACGTCACGGCCACCACTGCCCACCCTGACGGGCTCGCCCCGCCGCCCATGTACTGCTCGGGTGCGTCTACTCACGGCCCTTGGTGTCCCCCCTCACTGCGTTGTCTGGAGGAATGTTGGTTTTGAGTCGACTGGACAGTCGCTTTACAGAGGCCTTGTCACCCCTGCTAAACCCCACCCATTCTGCTCACCGCCTTTTTCCCCTTCATGCACTCACTCCCCTCTCCTCTCCTCCTGCCCCGATGCCCCTGGCTGCCGTATTCTCTATGGATGCTCCTCAATGCCTTTGATCTGAATGCCTGTGTCCGGTGCAGGGTCGCCGGTGGTCAACATGAGCACCGTAGATGGTGAGAGTGCCTTGCCTCACAGCACCATGCCTCACAGCACCATGCCTCACAGCACCATGCCTCACAGCACCATGCCTCACAGCACCATGCCTCACAGCACCATGCCTCACAGCACCATGCCTCACAGCACCATGCCTCACAGCACCATGCCTCACAGCACCATGCCTCACACCACCATGCCTCACAGCACCATGCCTCCTGCATCCATTTCCCTCCACCATTCGCTGCCCCACCATTCGCTGCCCCACCACGCACCAACCCTCCTGTCCCCGTGCCTTGCACCCGCTCTCATTCTTTCACCTGCTACACCATCTACTCACACCACCCCTCCCCGCCTCCTTGGTTGCATGGCAGCGCAAGCGCTGGAGGCAGTGAAGAGTGCGATGGGGGTGACGTTCAGCACGTGGGCGCCCGCCACGTACTGCACGGTGGCGCCCACCGCGCCCATCACCGGCACGTGGACCGGCGTGCTCTGCAACTCCCTTGGCAAAGTCGTCAGCCTGTCAGTCCGCCTGACCCCACCTGATGCTCCCCTGCCGTGCTTGGCATGTGGCTTCTCTCTCCACACCCTCGCTCTGCCTTCCTTCTGCTGCGACTGCCCTCTGCTTGCTCAACTTGCTCCTTGCAGCGTTCATGCTTATGCCCTACCTGCCACCTCGCCTTTGACTTCCCTACCGCTCATCACTCCTGTGCCAAAACCGTGTGTATGAGCCCCGCCGTGTGTGCTCGCCGTGCAGGCAACTGGCCAACAGCAAGCTCACGGGCACTCTGCCGCTCGCGGTCTCCAACCTCACCGCGCTCACCGCCATGTCAGCGCTCCCCGCCCTGCCCACCCGCTGCTCCCCGCCCTGCCCACCCGCTGCTCCAGTGCTCCTTACTCTCCTCATTGCACCTTGCACCCCGCCCTTGCTTGGCACCAAGTTAATGCCACCAACTGCCATCGTCTTAACAGAAGCATATGCGTCTGAGTAGCACTGACGACCCGTGCCCCCCCTTCTCTACATTCTCTCTCCTCTCTGCCCTTCCGCCCACTCCCTGCAGTGACCTCACCTCCAATCTCCTCCAGGGCCGCCTGGACGAAGTTACCACGCAGCTGCGCCTCCTCACCAACCTCAGGGCCATGTGAGTCAGTCACCCTCACTCTGCTGTGTCCATGCATGCACGAAATGCCTCATATGTATTTGCAATAAGGCTGGCGGGGTGGGCATGTGGCTGTGAAAGATCATCCCGTCGCTGTGGCCGTGTTCCTGCCAAGGCAGGCGGATTGCACATCATATGCATGTGCTCGCTCATTTATTCTTGCCCAATGTGTCTCTTTGCCGCTCTATCATTCCTCCTCAATTCCACATATGTTCTATCTTTTCTCTCACCCACCTGAGCCTGTGCCTCTGCATTTCTACCCCTCCTTTACCCCCCCCCTCCCTCCTCCCCTTGTCTCTCCCTTCCATATGCTCACAGCGACCTGGCCTACAACTGGCTCTCCGGCTCTGTGCCAGCGTTCATGCTCGCCCTCCCCAGCCTCACGGAGCTGTAAGCCCACCTCCCCTCCCCTCTCCGCTGCCCCCTCCACTCGCCTGCCCTTGCTTCTCTTCGCGTCTCCTCCTCAACTACTCTTGACCATTGCTGTGCCAGAAGCACTACTTCCTACTGGCCCCTCGAGGACCGCTGTCGTCCTCCTATTCCACGCTTTATCCTCAAACTCACTCATCCACTTCCATGTGCACGACGCCTGTCCACTGCGCCCTCTGCCCTGCTCTGCTCCGCAGCACGCTGGGCTACAACTACCTGACGAGCGCGCTGCCGAACGTGACGGCGCCGCTGTCAGTGGTGGACGTGCAGTTCAACTTCCTCGCCGGCACCTTCCCCGCGCTCAACCTCTCCCTCTGCGCCGCGCGCATGAACTGCTTCCTCGACGCCACCAAGTGCAAGAACCCCGCGCGCACCGCCGAGCTGCCGCGGGCTGCAGCAGCATGCGCCATCTGCAACACGACCAATGCGCAGGGGCGGCTGTGCAATGGCGGGCTGTGCACCGTCAACGCCACGGACCTGGTGGCGCTGGGCACGCCCAACAGTGCCGCGTCCCCCTCGCTGCCGCTCATCTGCGTGGGCGCGGCGTTTGTGGCGATGGACGCGGTGCATGCGGGCGCCATGCTGAACCTCAAGGCGTCGCTGGGAGTGACCTTCACCGACTGGAAGGCCGACTCGCCCTGCTCCCTGCCTGGTGCCGTGGCCCCCGGGTCGTGGAGCGGGGTCACCTGCGATGGCACCGGCAAAGTGCTTGGCATGTGAGTGCCCGTGCTGCTATAAAATCGTCTCCACTCGAGTGTAACATGATGCATTGCAATCTGGTTGGCTTTGACTTTAGGTATCCGTAGAGGTTGATTTTCCTTCACTCTTGTGCTGCTCTGTGCACTCCGGGTGCTGCCATGTGTGCCATGTGTGCCATGTGTGCCATGTGTGCCAACCCACACAGAGTCCTCAACGCGCAGAAGCTGGCGGGCAGCATTCACGCCGACATCTCCAAGCTCACAACGCTCACCTCGCTGTCAGTCCCCGAGCCCCTCCCTGCCTCTCACACTCTCACCTGCCTGTAACTCTGCTCCATCTTCTGCTCGCTCGCTGCTTGATGCTGAGTTCTTCTCCTGGGTGCTCCTGACTGCTGCGGCTCAAGCTTCCACATGGGGGGGGGGATTCTGAATGCTGCATCCTGCATTGTGCCTCCTGCACTGTGTGCTTTCGTCCTGTCTGTGCCTTGCAGCGATTTGCAGTCCAACCTACTGCAGGGGCGGCTGGACTCCTTCACGGCCAGCATCAAGACGCCCCTCGTGCTCAAGGAGCTGTGAGCTGCCTTAACCCCTGCCCCCATGCATGCAACCCATGTACCATGCTTGCACGTATGCTTGCATGTACCCATCCATGCTCGCATTGGCATATGCTCAATCTGTTCTCTGCACCACATGCACGCACTCACCCTGCGCCACTCACTTCACCCGCCCGCCGCCCTTCCTCTGCCTCTACTCCCTAACGCCCCCTCAACCCCCTATGTCCTCCCCTCCCCTGCACCCGCCCTCATGTGCGGGGCGGCAGTGCACTGCAGTTCAACTACCTGTCGGGCCAGTTCCCCTCCATGCTGCTCACCCTCACCACGCTCTCTAAGCTGTGAGTGATCTGCTCCCCACCTTATGCTGCGTCGCTTCTGCTCCACCTCCCCAGACTCTCCTTGCCCCATGCCATCGCTCAACCCTTGTCTCCTTCCCAACCCTTGTCTCCTTCCCAACCCTTGTCTCCTTCCCAACCCTTGTCTCCTTCCCAACCCTTGTCTCCTTCCCAACCCTTGTCTCCTTCCCAACCCTTGTCTCCTTCCCAACCCTTGTCTCCTTCCCAACCCTTGTCTCCTTCCCAACCCTTGTCTCCTTCCCAACCCTTGTCTCCTTCCCAACCCTTGTCTCCTTCCCAACCCTTGTCTCCTTCCCAACCCTTGTCTCCTTCCCAACCCTTGTCTCCTTCCCAACCCTTGTCTCCTTCCCAACCCTTGTCTCCTTCCCAACTCGTGTCTCTCCCCACCGCCTGCCCCTTTTCCCCTCCTCGGCCTCGCAGTTCCGTGGGCTACAACTACCTGACGGTCCCTTCCCCGCGGTGCCAGCATCCGCCAAGGCGCTGGACGTGCAGAGCAACTTCCTGTCGGGCGCCTTCCCTGCCAACGCGCTCACCTACTGCGCCGCCACCACCAACTGCCTCACCGACGCCAACAACTGCGCCTCGCTGGGCATCGCACAGCGCACCGCCTCAGACTGCGCCATCTGCGGCACCGACAGCGGCCAGGGCACGCTCTGTGGCAGCGTGCCGTGCCTCGTCAACACCACTGGCGTCACGGACCCTCCCACCGCGTCGTCTCCCCCACGCAACCTCTACTGCACGCCAGTCGCCATGGACACCAACACCAGTGAGTGCTCCTCCCATCATGCCCCCTCCCCCCCCCCCCCCAGACCCCCCCCCCCCCCCCCCCCCCCCCCATCTGCTCTCTTCCCCCTCGCTCCCCTTTCCCTCCTCCCTTGTCCCTTTGCACCCCTTCCCACTCGTGCTCATGCCACCAGCACTACATCCCCTCCCCTCACCTGTGGCGAGCAGCCACAACGCTACTGGCGCTGAAGACGGTGCTGGGAGTGACGGCCACGGACTGGGCGGCCACGACAGTGGCGCTGAAGCCCAAGGCGCTGAAGAGCAGCAGCGTGCCCCTCGCCACCACTGTGGGCGCCTGCACCGTGGAGGGGCAGACCCCTGCGCCCGGCTCCTGGACCGGCGTCTACTGCAACTCTCTTGGCACCATCGTCGCCCTGTGAGTGCCCTTCTGCTGTGGCTTCTCACTGGCTGTGAGGGCCGCCTCACGCCTTATGTGCGGACCCACTCAGCCCTGCTCCTCACCTCACATGTTTCATGAATTCACCCCAATTCCCCTTGTAGTACTTTGCTCTCGAGCCTCTCTGCATGCCAAAGGTCGTGTCACATCATTCCTGCTTCCCCCTTCACCATGCCCACACATACATTCATTATTCATTTGTCTCTTTCCCCCCCTCCCCCTCCTACTCTTTCCGCCCCTTCTCCTGATGGACGTGCAGGGTGCTGCCGAACCAGAAGCTGAGTGGAAGCCTGTCATCGGACATCAGCAAGCTCACTGCGCTCACCGCACTGTGAGTCTCCCCATCCAGCCCTTTGCACGCCCGTGCACGCCCTTGCAAGACGCCACTGTTCGTTGCACCTTCTCCCAGTGCAGTGCAGCGCACTCACTTCCTCCCATATGCAACATACCATGTTTCATGTTGCTGCCTCCACGCACGCATAGCTGTCCTGCCTCTGTTTGAATGTGTGTGTGTGTGTGTGTGTGTGTGTGTGTGTGTGTGTGTGTGTGTGTGTGTGTGCGTGCGTGTGTGTGTGTGTGTGTGTGTGCGTGCGTGCATATTCTGGGATGTGCACGGGTGCATGCAGGGACCTGAGTGCCAATCTGTTCCAGCAGCGCCTGGAAGTGTTTGTGTCCTTCTTCAGCGCGCTCAAGACTCTCAAGTCACTGTAAGTGCTGCACTCAACGCCACGCGCTACTGCCAGCGTCGGCATCATCATTGCACTCTCCTCAGCCATGCAGGGGTCTCACAGCACCAACTGTTACCGCCCGCCCCTCACATCGCTCCTCCCCGCCATGCCCATCCGGCGTGCCCACCCGCAGGTCGCTGCAGTACAACTGGTTCTCCAGCTCCATCCCCGCATCCCTGCTCGCCCTGCCCGCCCTCTCCACCATGTGAGTGCTCCTCACCACCCTTGCTGCCTGCTTGCCCCCCTGTAGCAGCCCCTTCTCACTCTGACTTCTCTTATTCCCTGCCCATGCCTTTGCCGCCACCTACACCTCATCATCACCCACTGCTGCTTCAATTCTTCCATGTCTCCCCATCCTCCCCCGTTTCGACCACACCACGAGCAGCAAGCTGAACCGCAACTACCTGACGGGCGTGGTGCCGACCGTGGGCGCAGCAGTGAAGGCGCTCAATGTGGCCAACAACTTCCTTTCGGGCTCCTTCCCCACCGCCGCCCTCACCGCGTGCGACGCGCGCTCCAACTGCTTCGCGGACGCTAGCAAGTGCGCCAACAGCAACGGCACGGCGCAGAGGGCCGCTGCCGACTGCAACATCTGCGGCTCCACGGGGGCGGCCGGCGCACTGTGTGGCGGCGGGTACTGCACACCCAACAGCACCGCGCCTGCCGCTGCAGGCACGCCCAACACGGAGGGGCAGGCGGTGCTGGCGCTGTTCTGCCAGGGCGGTCCCATCGAGGTCAACATGCGTGGCGCCATGCTCAACCTCAAGGCGTCACTGGGGGTGACGTTCACGGACTGGGTGGGCACGGCACCGTGCAACATTGCGGGGCAGAGCACGGTGCCGGGGGCGTGGTCCAACGTGGAGTGTGACGCCACTGGCAAGGTCACCAGCATGTGAGTGGCAGCCGTGCTATGGGACTCTGCACTGAAACATCCTCACGCTTGTAGGGCACAGGCGCAGCATGGTGGCGCCCCTGTCGTGCGTGTCCTGCCATCGTTACCATTTCTCCCCTGCTGCCTTGCTGCCTTGCTGTCGTCTCACGTCGCTCCGCTCTCTCGCCCGTGCTTCTCTGCAGTGAACTCTCGTCCCAGCTGCTGAAGGGCAGCATGCACGCCGACATCAGCAAGCTCACCACACTCTCATCGCTGTAAGCCCTCTCGCCTCTCTCCTTGCTGCACCACTGTCATCTCCGCTGCACCACTGTCATCTCCGCTGCACCACTGTCATCTCCGCTGCACCACTGTGATCCCCACTGCACCACTGTGATTCCCACTGCACCACTGTGATTCCCACTGCACCACTGTGATCCCCACTGCAGCACTGTCATCCCCGCTGCACCAGCGCCGCCCCACTCACTCGTGCACCACCATGTGCTGGATTCTTTATTTGGGCGCATGTCCGCCCGCCCCTCAACCTCCCATACATACATCCATGCACATGCACTCTCCTTCACCTCCTCCCACCCTTGCCCTTCCCGTGCCTGCTCTATCCCGCCATGCAGCATCATGTCCAGCAATCTGCTGCAGGGCCGCCTGGCGTTCTTCACCTCCGCCTTCAAGGGCCTCTCCGCGCTCAAGATCTTGTCAGTTGCCTCTGCCCCCCCACCTGCCCTCTGCCCTCCCATTTGCTCTCTGCCCTCTCACCTGCTCTCTGCCCTCTCACCTGCTCTCTGCCCTCTTACCTGCTCTCTGCCCTCCCATCTGCCTTCTGCCCCGCACCTGTCCTCTGCTGATGTCAGCATTCCTGTCACATGCTAACATCTGCCACTACACCCTTTCATTGCTGCATCCTCTGCTCTTCTATTTGCTTGCGTGCCCTCGAAGTGTGTCGGGCTACATGTCTCACCCTCACTGCTGCCTGTGACCATGCCCGCACTGCCTCTCCTCTACCCCCCTGCAGCAAGGCGCGATTCAACTTCCTCTCAGGCCCGCTGCCCTCTGCGCTGCTCACGCTGCCCACACTCACCAACCTGTACTGCCTCTATCCCTGCTCATCTCCCACCCCCTCTCCACCTCGCCTTGGATGCCATTTCCTCCTTTCCTCCTTTCCTCTGCTTGCCTCGTGCGCCCACTCTGCAATTTCCTCATCCTACCTGTATGTGCCTCACCTTCCTGTATGTGCCTCACCTTCCTGTATGTGCCTCACCTTCCTGTATGTGCCTCACCTTCCTGTATGTGCCTCACCTACCTGTATGTGCCTCACCTACCTGTATGTGCCTCACCTTCCTGTATGTGCCTCACCTTCCTGTATGTGCCTCACCTACCTGTATGTGCCTCACCTTCCTGTATGTGCCTCACCTACCTGTATGTGCCTCACCTACCTGTATGTGCCTCACCTTCCTGTATGTGCCTCACCTACCTGTATGTGCCTCACCTACCTGTATGTGCCTCACCTACCTGTATGTGCCTCACCTACCTGTATGTGCCTCACCTACCTGTATGTGCCTCACCTTCCTGTATGTGCCTCACCTACCTGTATGTGCCTCACCTACCTGTATGTGCCTCACCTTCCTGTATGTGCCTCACCTTCCTGTATGTGCCTCACCTTCCTGTATGTGCCTCACCTTCCTGTATGTGCCTCACCTACCTGTATGTGCCTCACCTACCTGTATGTGCCTCACCTTCCTGTATGTGCCTCACCTACCTGTATGTGCCTCACCTACCTGTATGTGCCTCACCTTCCTGTATGTGCCTCACCTTCCTGTATGTGCCTCACCTTCCTGTATGTGCCTCACCTTCCTGTATGTGCCTCACCTTCCTGTATGTGCCTCACCTACCTGTATGTGCCTCACCTACCTGTATGTGCCTCACCTTCCTGTATGTGCCTCACCTACCTGTATGTGCCTCACCTACCTGTATGTGCCTCACCTACCTGTATGTGCCTCACCTTCCTGTATGTGCCTCACCTACCTGTATGTGCCTCACCTTCCTGTATGTGCCTCACCTTCCTGTATGTGCCTCACCTTCCTGTATGTGCCTCACCTACCTGTATGTGCCTCACCTACCTGTATGTGCCTCACCTTCCTGTATGTGCCTCACCTTCCTGTATGTGCCTCACCTACCTGTATGTGCCTCACCTACCTGTATGTGCCTCACCTTCCTGTATGTGCCTCACCTTCCTGTATGTGCCTCACCTACCTGTATGTGCCTCACCTACCTGTATGTGCCTCACCTACCTGTATGTGCCTCACCTTCCTGTATGTGCCTCACCTACCTGTATGTGCCTCACCTTCCTGTATGTGCCTCACCTTCCTGTATGTGCCTCACCTTCCTGTATGTGCCTCACCTACCTGTATGTGCCTCACCTACCTGTATGTGCCTCACCTTCCTGTATGTGCCTCACCTTCCTGTATGTGCCTCACCTTCCTGTATGTGCCTCACCTTCCTGTATGTGCCTCACCTACCTGTATGTGCCTCACCTACCTGTATGTGCCTCACCTACCTGTATGTGCCTCACCTACCTGTATGTGCCTCACCTACCTGTATGTGCCTCACCTACCTGTATGTGCCTCACCTACCTGTATGTGCCTCACCTACCTGTATGTGCCTCACCTACCTGTATGTGCCTCACCTACCTGTATGTGCCTCACCTACCTGTATGTGCCTCACCTACCTGTATGTGCCTCACCTACCTGTATGTGCCTCACCTACCTGTATGTGCCTCACCTACCTGTATGTGCCTCACCTTCCTGTATGTGCCTCACCTACCTGTATGTGCCTCACCTTCCTGTATGTGCCTCACCTTCCTGTATGTGCCTCACCTTCCTGTATGTGCCTCACCTTCCTGTATGTGCCTCACCTTCCTGTATGTGCCTCACCTTCCTGTATGTGCCTCACCTACCTGTATGTGCCTCACCTACCTGTATGTGCCTCACCTTCCTGTATGTGCCTCACCTTCCTGTATGTGCCTCACCTACCTGTATGTGCCTCACCTTCCTGTATGTGCCTCACCTACCTGTATGTGCCTCACCTACCTGTATGTGCCTCACCTTCCTGTATGTGCCTCACCTTCCTGTATGTGCCTCACCTACCTGTATGTGCCTCACCTACCTGTATGTGCCTCACCTTCCTGTATGTGCCTCACCTACCTGTATGTGCCTCACCTACCTGTATGTGCCTCACCTTCCTGTATGTGCCTCACCTTCCTGTATGTGCCTCACCTTCCTGTATGTGCCTCACCTACCTGTATGTGCCTCACCTACCTGTATGTGCCTCACCTTCCTGTATGTGCCTCACCTTCCTGTATGTGCCTCACCTACCTGTATGTGCCTCACCTTCCTGTATGTGCCTCACCTACCTGTATGTGCCTCACCTACCTGTATGTGCCTCACCTTCCTGTATGTGCCTCACCTACCTGTATGTGCCTCACCTACCTGTATGTGCCTCACCTACCTGTATGTGCCTCACCTACCTGTATGTGCCTCACCTACCTGTATGTGCCTCACCTTCCTGTATGTGCCTCACCTACCTGTATGTGCCTCACCTACCTGTATGTGCCTCACCTTCCTGTATGTGCCTCACCTTCCTGTATGTGCCTCACCTTCCTGTATGTGCCTCACCTTCCTGTATGTGCCTCACCTACCTGTATGTGCCTCACCTACCTGTATGTGCCTCACCTTCCTGTATGTGCCTCACCTACCTGTATGTGCCTCACCTACCTGTATGTGCCTCACCTACCTGTATGTGCCTCACCTTCCTGTATGTGCCTCACCTACCTGTATGTGCCTCACCTACCTGTATGTGCCTCACCTTCCTGTATGTGCCTCACCTTCCTGTATGTGCCTCACCTACCTGTATGTGCCTCACCTTCCTGTATGTGCCTCACCTACCTGTATGTGCCTCACCTACCTGTATGTGCCTCACCTTCCTGTATGTGCCTCACCTTCCTGTATGTGCCTCACCTACCTGTATGTGCCTCACCTACCTGTATGTGCCTCACCTTCCTGTATGTGCCTCACCTACCTGTATGTGCCTCACCTACCTGTATGTGCCTCACCTTCCTGTATGTGCCTCACCTTCCTGTATGTGCCTCACCTTCCTGTATGTGCCTCACCTACCTGTATGTGCCTCACCTACCTGTATGTGCCTCACCTTCCTGTATGTGCCTCACCTTCCTGTATGTGCCTCACCTACCTGTATGTGCCTCACCTTCCTGTATGTGCCTCACCTACCTGTATGTGCCTCACCTACCTGTATGTGCCTCACCTTCCTGTATGTGCCTCACCTACCTGTATGTGCCTCACCTACCTGTATGTGCCTCACCTACCTGTATGTGCCTCACCTACCTGTATGTGCCTCACCTACCTGTATGTGCCTCACCTTCCTGTATGTGCCTCACCTACCTGTATGTGCCTCACCTACCTGTATGTGCCTCACCTTCCTGTATGTGCCTCACCTTCCTGTATGTGCCTCACCTTCCTGTATGTGCCTCACCTTCCTGTATGTGCCTCACCTACCTGTATGTGCCTCACCTACCTGTATGTGCCTCACCTTCCTGTATGTGCCTCACCTACCTGTATGTGCCTCACCTACCTGTATGTGCCTCACCTTCCTGTATGTGCCTCACCTACCTGTATGTGCCTCACCTACCTGTATGTGCCTCACCTTCCTGTATGTGCCTCACCTTCCTGTATGTGCCTCACCTTCCTGTATGTGCCTCACCTTCCTGTATGTGCCTCACCTTCCTGTATGTGCCTCACCTACCTGTATGTGCCTCACCTACCTGTATGTGCCTCACCTTCCTGTATGTGCCTCACCTACCTGTATGTGCCTCACCTACCTGTATGTGCCTCACCTACCTGTATGTGCCTCACCTTCCTGTATGTGCCTCACCTACCTGTATGTGCCTCACCTTCCTGTATGTGCCTCACCTTCCTGTATGTGCCTCACCTTCCTGTATGTGCCTCACCTACCTGTATGTGCCTCACCTACCTGTATGTGCCTCACCTTCCTGTATGTGCCTCACCTTCCTGTATGTGCCTCACCTACCTGTATGTGCCTCACCTACCTGTATGTGCCTCACCTTCCTGTATGTGCCTCACCTTCCTGTATGTGCCTCACCTACCTGTATGTGCCTCACCTACCTGTATGTGCCTCACCTACCTGTATGTGCCTCACCTTCCTGTATGTGCCTCACCTACCTGTATGTGCCTCACCTTCCTGTATGTGCCTCACCTTCCTGTATGTGCCTCACCTACCTGTATGTGCCTCACCTACCTGTATGTGCCTCACCTTCCTGTATGTGCCTCACCTTCCTGTATGTGCCTCACCTTCCTGTATGTGCCTCACCTACCTGTATGTGCCTCACCTACCTGTATGTGCCTCACCTTCCTGTATGTGCCTCACCTACCTGTATGTGCCTCACCTACCTGTATGTGCCTCACCTTCCTGTATGTGCCTCACCTTCCTGTATGTGCCTCACCTACCTGTATGTGCCTCACCTACCTGTATGTGCCTCACCTACCTGTATGTGCCTCACCTTCCTGTATGTGCCTCACCTACCTGTATGTGCCTCACCTTCCTGTATGTGCCTCACCTTCCTGTATGTGCCTCACCTTCCTGTATGTGCCTCACCTACCTGTATGTGCCTCACCGACCTGTATGTGCCTCACCTTCCTGTATGTGCCTCACCTTCCTGTATGTGCCTCACCTTCCTGTATGTGCCTCACCTACCTGTATGTGCCTCACCTACCTGTATGTGCCTCACCTTCCTGTATGTGCCTCACCTACCTGTATGTGCCTCACCTTCCTGTATGTGCCTCACCTTCCTGTATGTGCCTCACCTTCCTGTATGTGCCTCACCTTCCTGTATGTGCCTCACCTTCCTGTATGTGCCTCACCTTCCTGTATGTGCCTCACCTTCCTGTATGTGCCTCACCTTCCTGTATGTGCCTCACCTTCCTGTATGTGCCTCACCTTCCTGTATGTGCCTCACCTTCCTGTATGTGCCTCACCTTCCTGTATGTGCCTCACCTTCCTGTATGTGCCTCACCTTCCTGTATGTGCCTCACCTTCCTGTATGTGCCTCACCTTCCTGTATGTGCCTCACCTTCCTGTATGTGCCTCACCTTCCTGTATGTGCCTCACCTTCCTGTATGTGCCTCACCTTCCTGTATGTGCCTCACCTTCCTGTATGTGCCTCACCTTCCTGTATGTGCCTCACCTTCCTGTATGTGCCTCACCTACCTGTATGTGCCTCACCTTCCTGTATGTGCCTCACCTTCCTGTATGTGCCTCACCTTCCTGTATGTGCCTCACCTTCCTGTATGTGCCTCACCTTCCTGTATGTGCCTCACCTTCCTGTATGTGCCTCACCTTCCTGTATGTGCCTCACCTTCCTGTATGTGCCTCACCTTCCTGTATGTGCCTCACCTTCCTGTATGTGCCTCACCTTCCTGTATGTGCCTCACCTTCCTGTATGTGCCTCACCTTCCTGTATGTGCCTCACCTTCCTGTATGTGCCTCACCTTCCTGTATGTGCCTCACCTTCCTGTATGTGCCTCACCTTCCTGTATGTGCCTCACCTTCCTGTATGTGCCTCACCTTCCTGTATGTGCCTCACCTACCTGTATGTGCCTCACCTACCTGTATGTGCCTCACCTACCTGTATGTGCCTCACCTACCTGTATGTGCCTCACCTACCTGTATGTGCCTCACCTACCTGTATGTGCCTCACCTTCCTGTATGTGCCTCACCTACCTGTATGTGCCTCACCTACCTGTATGTGCCTCACCTTCCTGTATGTGCCTCACCTTCCTGTATGTGCCTCACCTACCTGTATGTGCCTCACCTTCCTGTATGTGCCTCACCTTCCTGTATGTGCCTCACCTACCTGTATGTGCCTCACCTTCCTGTATGTGCCTCACCTTCCTGTATGTGCCTCACCTACCTGTATGTGCCTCACCTACCTGTATGTGCCTCACCTTCCTGTATGTGCCTCACCTACCTGTATGTGCCTCACCTACCTGTATGTGCCTCACCTTCCTGTATGTGCCTCACCTTCCTGTATGTGCCTCACCTTCCTGTATGTGCCTCACCTTCCTGTATGTGCCTCACCTTCCTGTATGTGCCTCACCTTCCTGTATGTGCCTCACCTTCCTGTATGTGCCTCACCTTCCTGTATGTGCCTCACCTTCCTGTATGTGCCTCACCTTCCTGTATGTGCCTCACCTTCCTGTATGTGCCTCACCTTCCTGTATGTGCCTCACCTTCCTGTATGTGCCTCACCTTCCTGTATGTGCCTCACCTTCCTGTATGTGCCTCACCTTCCTGTATGTGCCTCACCTTCCTGTATGTGCCTCACCTTCCTGTATGTGCCTCACCTTCCTGTATGTGCCTCACCTTCCTGTATGTGCCTCACCTTCCTGTATGTGCCTCACCTTCCTGTATGTGCCTCACCTTCCTGTATGTGCCTCACCTTCCTGTATGTGCCTCACCTTCCTGTATGTGCCTCACCTTCCTGTATGTGCCTCACCTTCCTGTATGTGCCTCACCTTCCTGTATGTGCCTCACCTTCCTGTATGTGCCTCACCTTCCTGTATGTGCCTCACCTTCCTGTATGTGCCTCACCTTCCTGTATGTGCCTCACCTTCCTGTATGTGCCTCACCTTCCTGTATGTGCCTCACCTTCCTGTATGTGCCTCACCTTCCTGTATGTGCCTCACCTTCCTGTATGTGCCTCACCTTCCTGTATGTGCCTCACCTTCCTGTATGTGCCTCACCTTCCTGTATGTGCCTCACCTTCCTGTATGTGCCTCACCTTCCTGTATGTGCCTCACCTTCCTGTATGTGCCTCACCTTCCTGTATGTGCCTCACCTTCCTGTATGTGCCTCACCTTCCTGTATGTGCCTCACCTACCTGTATGTGCCTCACCTACCTGTATGTGCCTCACCTACCTGTATGTGCCTCACCTACCTGTATGTGCCTCACCTACCTGTATGTGCCTCACCTTCCTGTATGTGCCTCACCTACCTGTATGTGCCTCACCTTCCTGTATGTGCCTCACCTTCCTGTATGTGCCTCACCTTCCTGTATGTGCCTCACCTACCTGTATGTGCCTCACCTTCCTGTATGTGCCTCACCTACCTGTATGTGCCTCACCTACCTGTATGTGCCTCACCTTCCTGTATGTGCCTCACCTTCCTGTATGTGCCTCACCTACCTGTATGTGCCTCACCTACCTGTATGTGCCTCACCTTCCTGTATGTGCCTCACCTACCTGTATGTGCCTCACCTACCTGTATGTGCCTCACCTTCCTGTATGTGCCTCACCTTCCTGTATGTGCCTCACCTTCCTGTATGTGCCTCACCTTCCTGTATGTGCCTCACCTTCCTGTATGTGCCTCACCTTCCTGTATGTGCCTCACCTTCCTGTATGTGCCTCACCTTCCTGTATGTGCCTCACCTTCCTGTATGTGCCTCACCTTCCTGTATGTGCCTCACCTTCCTGTATGTGCCTCACCTTCCTGTATGTGCCTCACCTTCCTGTATGTGCCTCACCTTCCTGTATGTGCCTCACCTTCCTGTATGTGCCTCACCTTCCTGTATGTGTCTCACCAACTCTGCTCACCAAATCTGCTCTCCAAATCTGCTCGCCAACTGTGCTCCCCACTCTCCCCACGCCCTCCCCCTCGGCCATGGTGCAGCGACCTGGGCTACAACCTGCTGTACGGCCGCCTCTCCACCTTTGTCTCCAACATCACGCCACTTGCAGCCATCGTCACCCTGTGCGTCCTCATCCCCCTCTCCTCCTACTCCCACCCTCCGCTCACATGCCTGCTACCCTCCGCTCACATGCCTGCTACCCTCCGCTCACATGCCTGCTACCCTCCGCTCACATGCCTGCTACCCTCCGCTCACATGCCTGCTACCCTCCGCTCACATGCCTGCTACCCTCCTATCACATGCCCGCTGCCCTCCTCTCATGTGCCTGCCTCTCTCAGTTTCCTTGTGCAGTCCCCTCACTATCTCTCTGCGCCTCTCCAACCCTCCTTGCCTTGGCCCATCATGACACACCTCCGTCTCCCCTTGTTTGTGCGCATGCGCCCCTCTCTGCATGTGTGCGCCCCTCTCTGCATGTGTGCGCCCCTCTCTGCATGTGTGCGCCCCTCTCTGCATGTGTGCGCCCCTCTCTGCATGTGTGCGCCCTTCTCTGCATGTGTGCGCCCCTCTCTGCATGTGTGCGCCCCTCTCTGCATGTGTGCGGTGCGCCCCTCTCTGCATGCGTGCGGTGCGCCCCTCTCCCGTCTGGCAGGAACCTCAACTTCAACTACTTGTATGACAGCGTGCCCTCCACGCTCCTCAACATGGCCGCCCTCACAGAAATGTCAGTTTCGCGCAACCCCACTCGCAACATCTATTCTAGGGGCTTACCAGGGCTGTCAGTCACGTGCTGTGGGTGGTGCTGCTTCGTGGCTGTGAGGGATGGCGAATGCATGGCTGTGAGACGACGAATGCATGGCTGTGAGACGACTGTGAGCATGCTGTCATCGTTGACGAATGCTGTGAGCCTTGCCTTGACCAGGCCTCCTCATTGAAGCGCCCTTGCTCTTGCTGCACAGACATACGTGAGTGGAATGGTGCATTGGTGCGGTGGACGCTGCAGCTGCCCACACCCACATGCGCCCTGTCTGCATCCATCTGCCCATGTGTGCTCTGCTCCCTCTATCCGCGCATCCACTGACAAGCCAACCGTCGGCCCTGCTCCCCCCATTACAGGCGTCTGAGTGCCAACTACCTGACGGGCACGCTGCCCGCCGTGCCCACCAAGCTCAAGTACCTGGCCGTCAACCACAACTTCCTCGCGGGCGCCTTCCCCGCGCAGGCCTTCCAGTTCTGCGACGTGCGCGGCAACTGCTTCACCTCCACCGGCACCTGCTTCAACGCCTACAGCGTCGCTCAGCGCACCGCGGGCTGCAACATCTGCGCCACCACCAACGCCGTGCCACCCCTGTGCGGCGGTGCAGCGTGCGTGCTGAACGCCACGGCGCCGCTGGCAGCGGGGACGGTGAACAGCCTCACGGCCACCATGCAGCCCTTCTACTGCGGCCCCGCCACCATCGACGCCACCGCTGGTCAGTCCATGTGCACTGCCTGCACGTGGAGCATGCACACACATGTGTCACATGCCACACAATGCACAATGCCTCTTGTCTCCTCCCTCTCGCCTCACAATCTTTGTTTCCTTTCCTGTGCATGGGGACAGCGCAAGCGCTGCTGGTGCTGAGGGCTGCCCTGGGGGTGACGCAGAGCAGCTGGCTGGTGGACTCGCCGTGCGTCGTGGCAGGCAACCCGCCCATGCCTGGCACCTGGGCGGGCGTCGCCTGTGATACCACAGGCCAAGTCGTCTCCTTGTGAGTGCCGTGTTTCATGCATCCTGTGAGTGTCGCGTCTCATGCATCCTTGCATGTCAAGGCACCCCATCCTGTCATGTCAAGGCACCCCATCCTGTCATGTCAAGGCACCCCATCCGGTCATGTCAAGGCACCCCATCCTGTCATGTCAAGGCACCCCATCCTGTCATGTCAAGGCACCCCATCCTGTCATGTCAAGGCACCCCATCCTGTCATGTCAAGGCACCCCATCCTGTCATGTCAAGGCACCCCATCCTGTCATGTCAAGGCACCCCATCCTGTCATGTCAAGGCACCCCATCCTGTCATGTCAAGGCACCCCATCCTGTCATGTCAAGGCACCCCATCCTGTCATGTCAAGGCACCCCATCCTGTCATGTCAAGGCACCCCATCCTGTCATGTCAAGGCACCCCATCCTGTCTTGTCAAGGCACCCCATCCTGTCATGTCAAGGCACCCCATCCTGTCATGTCAAGGCACCCCATCCTGTCATGTGAAGGCATCCCATCCTGTCATGTCAAGGCACCCCATCCTGTGCACCGTGTGCCATGCCATGCACATGCTCTGCAACCATGCCACGGGACAATAGGAGCATCGGAACATTTTGTTGTTCGGGTGTTCATGTTTCCTTGCACGACTGCCGGTCCTGCTGTATCCGACTCACTCTTGCCTTGCCTGTCCTGTGCGTTGCTCCTTACTGGCTATGGTTACGTCGCCCCAGGGAGCTGCCCAGCAACGGGCTGCGGGGGAGTCTGCCTGCTGATGTGTCAAAGCTCACAGCCATCACTCGCATGTGAGGCCCCTCTCCCCTGCACCCTCTCCCCTGCACCCTCTCCCCTGCACCCTCACCCACAACCTCACCCGCATGCGCTCCTCACTTGGGTCCCACGCAGCATCACCGTATGGCCCTGTGTTTTCGTCTCCATGCAGAATGCCCCTTGCTCCTTCATGCGACGTCCATGCCCATGCCCTCCTATCCACGCGTCTCTCACTCTCCATATTTTTCTCCCCCCCCCCCCCCCCCCCCCCCCCCCCCTGGGGCAGCAACATGGCGTCCAACCTGTTGGAGGCGCGCCTGGCTGAGTGGGCCACGGCGCTCACCAAGCTCAAGGCACTCAAGCACCTGTCAGTGCCCTCCCTTCCATGTCATGCCATGCCATGCCATGCCATGCCCTGCCCTGCTTTCCTTGTGCTCGTGTTTCCCCTGGTCCGCCAATCCCTCACCACCTTCCCTGCCCTACACCCTGCCTTCCTCCCACCCCGCCCGGCTGCATCGCTTCCAAACAGTGCCCTCAACTACAACTGGTTCTCCGGCCCTCTGCCATCCTATCTTCTCACCCTCTCCTCCCTCACCACACTGTAAGTGGCGCACACACTTGTATCCACATTCACTCACGCACACACTCGTACCCACATTCACTCACGCACACACTCGTACCCACATTCACTCACCCACACACTTGTATCCACATTCACTCACGCACAGACTTGTACCCACATTCACTCACGCACACACTTGTATCCACATTCACTCATGCACACACTTGTACCCACATTCACTCACGCACACACTTGTACCCACATTCACTCACGCACACACTTGTACCCACATTCACTCAAGCAAGCACACACTCATGCCTGTCCTTTCCTTCTCTTTGCTCTTAGTGTTATCGGTCCTTCATCCACGCTGCACACTCCCCCTTTCCAAAACCACTTTCACACACACCATTCTCTCTTTTTCCGGGAAATACTTTCCCCTCTTCGCCCCTCACGCGCTGCGCCGTGCTGCCTCTCACAGCAAACTGCAGTTCAACTACCTCACGGGCACCATCACGGGTGCGCCAGCAGCGGCGCTCAAGACCATCAACGTGGCGTCCAACTTCCTGGCGGGCTCCTTCCCGGCGTCCACCACCACCATGTGTGACGCGCGCAACAACTGCCTCACAGACGCCTCCAAGTGTGTCTCCTCGGGCTCCTCCGCCCAGCGAGCCTCCACTGCCTGCGCCATCTGCGGTGCTGCCAACGCGTCCACGCTGCTGTGCGGGGGTGGTGTGTGTGCGCCCAACACCGCCACTCCTCTCGCCTCCAAGACACCCAACATCGCCTCTGCTGCCGTGCTGCCACTCATGTGCACTGGCGTCCGCATCACCCCCGCTGCCCGTGCGTCCCTCTATCTTTTTTCTCTACACATGGTCCCCCCTGCCTCATCCGTCCTGCTCTGATGCTCACATGTTTGCTCCGACTCGCCCTACGTGCCATTCTCTCTAGCCTCTCTGCTCCCCCTCATCCATTCCTCCTCCAGGCCTCCATTTCTCCTCATCTCCCCTCTTGTGCCCTCCCTCCCCCCCCTGTGCGCCATGTGCGCCATGTGCGCCCTGCTGCATGCAGTGCCGGTGCTGGCGAGCATGAAGACGGCGCTGGGAGTGCCGCACGCGGGGTGGGGAGTGGACACCATGTGCACGGTGACGGGCATCATCGAGGGCCCGCAGGACATACCGGCGGTGTACTGCAACGCGCAGGGCGCGGTGGTGGACCTGTTTGTGAAGCAGCGCTTCATGCGCGGCTCCATGCACCCCGACATCTCCAAGCTCTCCGCCCTCACCGCCCTGTCAGTGCTGCCACCCCAATCCTCCCTCCCACTGCCCCTTGCCAGCACTCATTCCCTTGCAAGCCCACGTGGAGGCTCGCCCACCATGTGCCGCCCACCATGTTCTGCCCACCATGTGACGCCCACCATGTGCCGCCCACCATGTGCCGCCCACCATGTGCCGCCCACCATGTGCCGCCCACCATGTGACGCCCACCGTGTGCCGCCCACCGTGTGCCGCCCACCATGTGCCGCCCACCATGTGCCGCCCACCATGTGCCGCCCACCATGTGCCGCCCACCATGTGCCGCCCACCATGTGACGCCCACCGTGTGACGCCCACCGTGTGCCGCCCACCATGTGCCGCCCACCATGTGCCGCCCACCATGTGCCGCCCACCATGTGCCGCCCACCATGTGCTTGCCGCGCTGCTCTGCTGCTTGCTCATGCATGTCACTCCCTCTGTCACCCCCCTCCCCCTTGCGCGTGGTGCAATGCAGGGACCTGTCGAGCAACTTCCTGTCGGGCCCCTTGGACCCCTTCATCTCGCCCCTCACCGCCCTCACTGCCCTCAAATACCTGTCAGACCCCGCCCCTCCCTCTCTCTCTCTGCATGCCCCCCCTCTCTGTCTCTGCTTTGCCCCCCTCGCTCTTATCCCGCTCGTTCCCAAATCTCTGCTATCTTTCCGTCTCCTAGCCCTCTTCTCGCTCACATCTGCTCGACCTAACGTGCTGTGGGGAGATGAACCCCGCTCCTTCCTCTGTGCTGTGCTGCTCTGCCGTGGTGTGCTGCAGGGTCATGAGTTACAACTTCTTCTCGGGCTCGCTGCCTGCCACCATCTCTGCCATCAAGAGCCTCTTCATGCTGTGAGCCCCCTGCACTGCCTCTACATGCTGTGAGCCCCCTGCACTGCCTCTACATGCTGTGAGCCCCCTGCACTGCCTCTACATGCTGTGAGCCCCCTGCACTGCCTCTACATGCTGTGAGCCCCCTGCACTGCCTCTACATGCTGTGAGCCCCCTGCACTGCCTCTACATGCTGTGAGCCCCCTGCACTGCCTCTACATGCTGTGAGCCCCCTGCACTGCCTCTACATGCTGTGAGGGCGCGGGGGGAGTGCCGCGCCACCACACGATGCTGTCCTGCGTGGGGTCGCGCGCGTCCGGGATGATGGCGCGCGCGTGGAAGCCCCCCCCTGGCGCCTCCACCTGCGCGCGCAACAAGGGCGGGGAGGGGAAAAGGATGGGGACGGGGGGACGAAGTGGGGGAAGTGATGGGGAGGGGAGGAAGTTTAGGCGGGATAAGGACGGAGGGGTGTTGACAGTGGGGTACTCTATAGTGAGTACAGCCCAAATCAGGGTTTGCTGTATGTATCCTATCTACTGCTAATGCAACCTCCTCTTTCTGTTTTTCTAACTTTGCTGGCGTTTCTCGACACTTCTCTAAGGGCGGGTCTTGCAGGGTGTAGTTTGGCCATTCACGTAATTTTTACGAAATTCTGATTGTTTACAAAGCTGCTGCCCGCACGTACAGAAAATTATATGTCTATTTTGTAGGGTATGCAATTATACAGGGTGTTCTTGGGTAACAGTATCTAAAAATTAATGTACTTCTAAGGAGCAAGTCACGTTCCTAACACTACCTTTTCATGTCAGAATCACTGGCAGGAATGGGTTGCATTGAGTAAAATGTGGGTACAAGTACTAACCCTAACTTTGGGCTGTACCCCATATGGGCTACCCCACTATAGCCTACACAGAACTAACACATATATAGTTTGACACACCCCCATAGGCAAAGTTTGGGTTGAACTAAGGGTCACAAGACCAGTCAAGAGAAGTAAAGCAAGCTCAGGGTGGATCACAACGTCACCAAACACTCCGAGCACAAGCAAAGGACCACAAGGCCAGTTCACATGCAGAGGTATATAGAACAAAACAGGCAGTACAGTGATCACAACCTAGCAAACGCAAATATGCAAGGATAGATATATAGATCACAGTACAAGCAAGGTCAAGCAGTGAGCAAGTGAGAGAACGTAGGCACGAGGCCTAGAGCAGTGCAGTGCCGCTGATGATCACTAGGCAGAAGTGCCTTGGTGAATACATCAGCAGTGTTGGCCCGCGTGTCCCCGTAAGCAAGACGAAGCTGACCATGCTGCTGCAGCTCTCGAGCAAGAAAGTAACGCAGAGCGATGTGCTTCGTCCTGTGCTCCAGTCTGTGCTCCTGACACAAGGCAAGGGCTGCCTTGTTGTCACCGTACAGAACTAGAGGAGAACGAGGCCGCTCTCCCAAGTTAGCCAACAGGTAGGTGAGCCAGCGTAGCTCCTGTGCAGCCATGGCTGTGGCGTGGATCTCAGCCTCACAACTGGAGCTGAGAACAGAGGAAGAGCGGGTAGACCGCCAAGAGACAGAGCCGGAACGAAGGCTGAAGGTGTAGCCCTGCGACGACTGCTGTGTAGCTAGGTCGTCCACCCAAGAGGCGTCTGAGTGACCAGTGAGGACAGCTGGACCCTGTCCTCCAAGCACCAGCCCCATGCCTGATGTACTGCACAAGTAGCGTAACACCCTCTTAGCAGCCTCCCAGTGCTCTCGCCGGTGTCTCCCAGGTGCAACGTAGCGAGCCAAGATGCTAAGAGGGTACGCAAGGTCAGGTCGAGTGCAGGTCATCAGGTACATGAGGCAGCCCACAAGCTCTGGGTACGGGCCACTCGGCTCTACGGACTCGTCCGAAGGTGGAGCTGAGAGCGAGTGACCAGTAGACAGAGGAGTGGACTGTGGTGAGGAGAACTGGAAGCCGAAGCGCTGAAGGACCTGCTGCACCATGTGTGACTGAGTCAGGGTAATGGTGCGGCATGCTTCGTTCCAGGTGATCTGCAAGCCAAGGTAGCTGCGCAACTCACCCAGGTCTGTGCACGTGTGTCTCTTCTGCAGCTCCGACTTCACAAGGGCGAGTGCCTCAGTGTCAGCAGTGGCGAAGACCAAGTCGTCGACGTACACGAGAATGTAGAACGGCGGCAGCGAAGTGTCGGTGCGCAAAGATAGCGACGGGTCAGCAGTCGAAGGAGCAAACCCAAGGGCCGCAAGTGTCGTCCTCAGTGTGTCGTGCCACTCACGAGGCACCTAGCGGAGACCGTAGACCAGCTGCCGGAGGCTCCACTGGGTACCAGGAGGAAACGACCCAGTGAAGCCAGGAGGGCGGCGCAACCAGATCTCCTCGTGCAGGCTGCCCTGCAAGAAAGTTGTGCTGAAGTCAAGAGAGTGAAGCTCGTAGTCACGCTGAGCGGCAACGTGCAGCAGTACCCAAAGAGTGGTCATCTTCGGGGTAGGGGAGAAGGTCTGGAAGAAGTCAACTCCCTACCTCTGACTGAAGCCTCGTGCAACGTAACGAGCCTTGAAGACAGGCGGAGAACCTGGCGGCCGCTTCACCCTGAAAATCCACATGCCATCGACTATGTTCGCCCCAGGAGGGGGAACTGCGTCGACGTAAGTGCCTATGGACTTCCAGGATGCCATCTCTGCGTCCATGGCTGTCTGCCACTGAGAGGAGTAGGGACCCGTGATTGCCTTTGTGTAAGAGCGCGGGGTCGGGATGTCCAGTGCATCCGGGTCTCCCTCAGGGGCAAGCAGCCAGGCCACGAGATGAGGTACAGCAGCCGCAAGACAGTCAAAGTCCTCCTGCCTGTCCTCAAGGACGTCCGTGCCAAGAGCACACCCACCCCCGACGGACGGAGGACAAACAGACTCAGACTCTGCAACAAGACTGGCGGCGTAGTCTAAACGACACGCTGCAGCAAAGTCCACAAGCACAGCAACCAAGGCAGACGCAGCAGTGGACTCAAACGACGGGTCAGTGACAACAGTAGCCAGCAGACGCGTAACGGTGGGGCTAGCAGCACGAACAGCGTCAGACTCAGGGTCAGGAAGCTCAGGAAGAGAGGACGCAGGAGGAGACGACAGCGGGACGCGCTGTGGAGCAGAGGAGGGACGAAGTGCCATAGTGTGAGTGCCTGGCACAGGAGGAGGACGCGGACGCGGGACACGACGAGCGGTGCGAACAGCGCGAACAGGGGAGGCAGGACGAGACGCAGGCTCACGACGCTCTGTAAGGGAGACCGGCTGCTCAGTGTAGCGTGACGGGACAGGCAGCGGCGAGCCAGGAGGAAGGGCAGTGGACGAAGGAAGACTAAGAACCTGGCGGAGCACCGACTCGGGTGGAAGCTCAGACAGCTGTGGCGGCGGCTCGAAAAACGGTCGCTGCTGCACAGGGCCTCCAGCTCCAGCACCTCCAGCTCTAGCACCTCCAGCTCCAGTGTCTCCAGCTCCAGCGCCTCCAGCTCCAATGCCCCCAGCTCTCGCGCCTCCAGCGCCACCTGTGCCAGCGTCCCCAACTCCAGGGCATCCAGCTCGAGCGACTCCAGCTCCAGTGCCTCGAGCTCCAGCACCGCCAGCACCAGCGTTTCCAGCTCCAGCGTCTACGGCACCAGCGCCTCCAGGACCAGGAGCACCGACTCGGGTGGAAGCTCAGACAGCTGTGGCGGCGGCTCGAAAAACGGTCGCTGCTGCACAGGGCCTCCAGCTCCAGCACCTCCAGCTCTAGCACCACCAGCTCCAGTAGTGTTAGCTCCAGCGCCTCCAGCTCCAGTGCCCCCAGCTCTCGCGCCTCCAGCGCCACCTGTGCCAGCGTCCCCAACTCCAGGGCCTCCAGCTCGAGCGACTCCAGCTCCAGTGCCTCAAGCTCCAGCACCGCCAACGCCAGCGTCTCCAGCTCCAGCGTCTACGGCACCAGCGCCTCCAGGACCAGGAGCACCGACTCAGGTGGAAGCTCAGACAGCTGTGGCGGCGGCTCGAAAAACGGCCGCTGTTGCACAGGGCCTCCAGCTCCAGCACCTCCAGCTCTAGCACCTCCAGCTCCAGTGTCTCCAGCTCCAGCGCCTCCAGCTCCAGTGCCCCCAGCTCTCGCGCCTCCAGCGCCACCTGTGCCAGCGTCCCCAACTCCAGGGCCTCCAGCTCGAGCGACTCCAGCTCCAGTGCCTCGAGCTCCAGCACCGCCAACGCCAGCGTCTCCAGCTCCAGCGTCTACGGCACCAGCGCCTCCAGGACCACTAGCTCCAGCTCCTCCGATACCTCCAGCACCAGTGACCCCAGCTCCAGCGCTACTAGCTCCAGCCGCGTCACTCAGAAGGCGACAGCGGCTAGCGTACCACTCGCGCAGCTGCTGTGGGGAGAGAGGCTCTCGGAGGGGAGACTCAGTACCTGTAGGTGCAGCACCCCTAGGCTCAGCACCCCCAGGCTCCGCACTCGCAGGCTCAGCACCCCCAGGCTCCGCACGCTCAGGCTCAGCACCCCCAGGCTCCGCACTCGCAAGCTCAGCACCCCCAGGCTCCGCACTCGCAGGCTCAGCACCCCCAGGCTCCGCACTCGCAGGCTCAGCACCCCCAGGCTCCGCACGCTCAGGCTCAGCACCCCCAGGCTCCGCACTCGCAGGCTCAGCACCCCCAGGCTCCACAGTCGCAGGCTCAGCACCCCCAGGCTCCGCACCTCGAGAAGAACCCCCCCCCTAAAGCACCTGAGTCACCAGTGACCTCGACAGGCTCAGCCAAGGGGAGTGGGTCTACCTGAGACACACCTGAAGGAGCAGGACCAGGAGGGGGGAGGGGGTCTACCGGAGGGGGACCTGGAGAGAGGAAGAGCGGCGGTGGTGGGGGGGGAGCAGTGCGGTAGGGGAAAAGTCAGTAAAAGGGAACCGACTCGTCAAACGTGACGTCCTGAGAGGGGAAGACACGGCGCAAGGTGGGGTGGTAAAACTGCCAGCCAGGCGCGTCAGGGACAAAGCCAAGGAAGACGCAGGGAACAGCGCGAGAGGAGAGCTTGTCCGCGGTGGTATCGCGGACAAAGGTACGAGAGCCCTAGACCTGGAACCGCGACGCATCGCCAACCTTCCCCGTCCAACGCAGTGTGGGCGAGGTCTCCGGCAGGGAGACACGGGGCCAGAGGTTGAGCTGATGCGCAGCGTACTGGACCGCAAACGGCCACAGAAAATTGGGAGCAGCCGCATGGATCATGGAGGTACGAGCAACCTCCATGACTAAGCCAATGCGGCGCTCAGCAACCTCATTCTGCTGTGGAGAGGCCGAAAGCGTGAACGACTGGAGGATGCCCTCCCCCTGACAAAAGTCTCGCAAGAGGTCGGAGGAGACTCACCACCTCTATTAAAGTGTAGACGCAGGACGGGAAAGTCCGTCTGGAACCGCTCGCGGAGCTGGAGACGTACAGCGCGGATCCAAGGGATCAAAACATCAGGGACCTCACCCTTGCTGTGCAAGGGGAAGACCGTGGTGTAACGCGAGTAGTCGTCAACAACCAGCAGAAAGTACCGCTCACGGCCCTGTCCCTGGACGCGGGCTGGGCCCCACACGTCCAGGTGGAGAGTTTGCAGGGGAGCAGTCGTCGGGGGAAATGAGGAGGAGTGAGGAGCGGCGCGCTGCCGCCCCTCGGTGCAAGGAACGCAGGGCGGGGCAGGCGAGGGTGGGAGGGAAGGAAGAGACCTGGGAAGACCAGAGACAAGGAGGCGGGAGTGCATGCCACGAAGGCGTGGCAGGGAGGGGTGACCAAGGCGGTGGTGCCATAGGAGGGTCTGGTGCGACAGGTGACGACACTCGCAGGGGGAAGCTACCTGACCCGACGCGGCCACCTGACCAGACGCAGCAACCTGAGGAGGCTCAGTAGTCAGTTTGTACAGGCTAGACCTCTGGCCGACGAGTGAACGTGGCCATGTGACGGCCGTTCCGGGAGCATGTACAGATCGCCACACGCTGTCCTCCAGGGGTAAAGGTATCAACCCCTGCATCCTGAAGGACAGCGTTGCTCACCAAGTTCGTCGAGAACGACGTCGGATACGGGAGCACAGTGGAGGAGTGTGCAAGCACGGGACCCCCAGAGGGGTCAGCCAGGGAGACCGCAACCGGTCTAGGGAGTGGTGTGAGCTCGGTATTGTCACAAAAGAAACAACGAGAAGCACCTGAGTCAAGAGTGAAGGTGTGCAAGGCCTCAGCAGGCGCAATACCAGAGAGAGCAGAATCACGAGCACCTAGAGCAGCAGACTCTATACCTGGGTCATATGGCATACACAAGTAACAGTCCCCATCAGCACTAACAGTCAATGCATACATGGCAGCAAGGATAGCATCAAAGTCTGGTGCAAAGATATCAAAATCGCGCTTAAGCAGATCCGCCCAGCGGGGGAGCTCTACTGCGTCAGGAAACTGGGCACGCCATGCGTCGTCAAGGCGGTACTCAGTGTGAAACTTCATGCATGTCTGACTAGCGCGGTCCCCAGTGCGAATGACGTACGGGCAGCGAGCACTACCCCCAGACGCCCCACGCTGAGCGTACCACTCACGAAGCTGCTGGGGCGTAAGGGTCTCGCGCGGACGCTGCTGCTGCTGGCGCTGGCCACCACCAGTATCTCCTCGCTGAACAGCTCCACCACCTCCGCCACCACCGCCGCCACCACCGCCGGTACCACCGCCCCCACCTCCGTCACCACCCCCGCCGCCGCCACCAGTCCCACCACCGCCACCTCCACCACCACCACGCCCACCGCCGTCGCCACCGCCGTCGCCACCGCCGCCACCGACACCTCCACTCCCGCCACCACCCCCACCGCCACCACCCCCACCGCCTCCGCCTCCACCACCACCTCCCCTGCTGCCACCGCTGCCACCCTTGCCTCCCCTGCCGTTGCCGCTGCGGCGCTTCCCACCAGGGGCAGAAGCGGCACCGACCTCCTCAGCACCAAGGAAGTCGACAGCAGCAGCAGCAGCAGCAGAGGCGTGGGAGGGGGCCAGGGGGGAGGGGGCACACCCCTCAAAGAGGGGAGTGTGGGGAGCGCCACGAGCAGCACCTACAGCGACGATGTTGGACTCAGCTGCAAGGAGTTGCTTCTCGAGGTCGTTGACTGTGAGGTCGGTGGGGGGGAGGGCGAGGAAGTGGTCCCTGACTACGCGAAGAGAGTCAGGGAGTCAGGTGACTATGAAGTAGAGGGTGATGTACATCGGGGGAGGGTTCTTGGCTAAGAACTCGGCTGGGAGGGCGGCGCGGTAGCGTAGGTTACTAGCGCGAAGGTGAGCTATGAGGTCCTCAGCTGTGGCGAAGGAGGAAAGCTCAGGGAACAGGTAGGGTAGGATAAGGCAGCTGAGAGCAGCAGTGGCTGGGGAAGAGTAGCGAGCGATGACAACAGTATACAGTGCCTTAGCAGTTTTGTGCTGGCCAAAGTGAGTGCGTTCGGCTAACGGCAGGTGGTTGCGAATAGCTAGGCGAGCAGCAGCGTCACGGGTAAGCCATTGTGAGCGAGTGAGGCTGTCAACTGTGTCTGCTGGAGCGACTGAGGTGCAAGACGCGAGGTCAAAGAGGGATACGCCGCCTTTAGCATCAGTCATAAGGCACATCTGCAGATATTCGAGCCAGGCATCAAACAACATCGGACGTCCCTCTGGGACAAACGACAGAACGCTGATGGATGCCATGGCCACTGAGGCAGGAACGGCAAAGCACGAGCAGGCAAGGGATGCGCGCGGTAGGACAGCAGAGGCAGCACGCGGGCTGCAGGAGCAGCGCGCGGAGGTGCAGAGGCAGGGCGCGGGCAGCAGGGGCAACGCAAGGGCTGCAGGGTTGTGCGCGCGGGGCAGCAAAGGCAGCGCGCGGGCTGCAGGTAGGGCGCGCGGGGCAGCAGAGGCAGCGCACGGGGCTGCGGGTGGGCGCACGGGGCAGCAGAGGCAGCGCGCGGGGCTGCGGGTGGGCGCACGGGGCAGCAGAAGCAGCGCGCGGGGCTGCAGGTGGGCGCGCGGGGCAGTGGAGGGAGCGCGCGGGGCTGCAGGTGGGCGCGCGGGGCAGTGGAGGCAGCGCACGGGCTGCGAGGTGGGCGCGCGGGGCAGCAGAGGCAGCTGGCGGGGCTGCGGGTTGGGCGCGCGGGGCAGCAAGGGCAGCGTGAGGGCTGCGGGATGGGCGCGCAGGGCAGCAGAGGCAGCTGGCGGGGCTGCGGGTTGGGTGCGCGGGGCAGTAAGGGCAGCGCGAAGGCTGCGGGGTGGGCGCGCGGGGCAGCAGAGGCAGCTGGCGGGGCTGCGGGTCGGGCGCGCGGGGCAGCAGAGGCAGCGCGAGGGCTACGGGGTGGGCGCGCGGGGCAGCAGATGCAGCTGGCGGGCAGCGCGCGGGGCTGACGAGGCAGCGGGCTGCGGCGCGCGGGGCTGACGAGGCAGCGGGCGGGCGGCTCGCGGGGCTGACGAGGCAGCGGGCGGGCGGCGCGCAGGCAGGGCGGCTAGGGCGTGGGGTAGCGGACGGTGGGCCCTAAAAAAAAGCGATTTGGTCCTACGGACCTACTGCTCTGAATACCATGTCAGAATCACTAGCAAGAGTGGGTTGCATTGAGCAGAATGTGGGTACAAGTACTAACCCTAACTTTGGGTTGTACCCCATATGGGCTACCCCACTATAGCCTACACAGAACTAACACATATGTAGTTTGACATTTCAGTCATGGTAGGCCCTGCTGGTACCTAATATTCCCAGGGTGGCCGAAAACCAATTGTGAGCACCAATTACAAGCATTTGGTTGCGTTAACAATAACCGTAAGTACTGAATTGTTGTCACAGTACATGGATGTGATTATTTGCATGACTAACGGGTATCCTCCTGATGCCCTCATGTTGACTCGGCAGCATGGCTGACGTCACCAGTAAGAGAAGTATGTTTACCGAGAAACTCAATACTGATTGTAAGCGTACTGGTTTTACGAAAATAGGACTCGCAAAAAAAAAATCTACAAAAACATCCAGAGTTGTCTTCTATCCAGTCGATTACGGTTATCAACAGCGCCTCGATCAGCAACCAGCGTTGAGCTGCTCTTCAAAGCTCATACGTGTCGTTTTTTGGAAACAATGGGGTTGGGGTGCTTCTCAGAGGAGGTTCTACTCCATGCAACCCCCCCCATCCCTGCATGCATCACATGCACTCCTGGCATCCCCACTGGCCACTCGCTGCAGGCAGTGGGTGATGCGCTGCCCCAACACACGCTGATGCGCTCGCCATGGTGCAGGGGGGCAGCGAGGGGGAGCAGCGAGGGGGAGCAGCGAAGGGGAGCAGCGAGGGGGAGCAGCGAGGGGAAGCAGCGAAGGGAAAGGGGGAAAGGGGGGCGAGGGTGAGCCACACCGAAACACTCATACGATTGGCAGTCAGGTGGCAATGCTACTGAGATGTCAACGCTAGTCAGATGGCAATGGCAGTCAGATGGCAATGGCAGTCAGATGGCAATGGCAGTCAGATGGCAATGGCAGTCAGATGGCAATGGCAGTCAGATGGCAATGGCAGTCAGATGGCAATGGCAGTCAGATGGCAATGGCAGTCAGATGATACTGTAAGTATCTCTGCTTCATCACTTGTGTGGGCGACAGGGTGGGCGGTAGAAGAGAAAGAGGGGAGGGGAAAAGGAAAACGAAATAGGACATGAGCGGCACTCACAGCAACGAGTGCATGCACTCCAATGGGTGCGGTGACTATAAAGGGCACTTTGTTGCCGTGCTGTGATGCTGCCTCTGCTGCCAGCGCTGGGATGTCCTGCCAGGGAGGAGATGGTGGCAGGGGAGAGATGGTGGCAGGGGAGAGTTGGTGGCAGGGGAGAGATGGTGGCAGGGGAGAGATGGTGGCAGGGGAGAGATGGTGGCAGGGGAGAGATGGTGGCAGGGGAGAGATGGTGGCAGGGGAGAGATGGTGGCAGGGGAGAGATGGTGGCAGGGGAGAGATGGTGGCAGGGGAGAGATGGTAGCAGGGGAGAGATGGTGGCAGGGGAGAGATGGTGGCAGGGGAGAGATGGTGGCAGGGGAGAGATGGTGGCAGGGGAGAGATGATGGCAGGGGAGAGATGGTGGCAGGGGAGAGATGGTAGCAGGGGAGAGATGGTGGCAGGGGAGAGATGGTGGCAGGGGAGAGATGGTGGCAGGGGAGAGATGGTGGCAGGGGAGAGATGGTAGCAGGGGAGAGATGGTGGCAGGGGAGAGATGGTGGCAGGGGAGAGATTGTAGCAGGGGAGAGATGGTGGCAGGGGAGAGATGGTGGCAGGGGAGAGATGGTAGCAGGGGAGAGATGGTGGCAGGGGAGAGATGGTGGCAGGGGAGAGATGGTGGCAGGGGAGAGATGGTGGCAGAGACGGTACAAGGGTGTCAGAAACGGTGCAAGGGGGCAAAAGAAAAGGGTGGGTCCAAAGTAGTGGCATGTGAGGAGAGGAGAGGGGAGGGGATGTGAGGAGAGAGGAGGGAAGTCATGTGCATTGCAGTGAAAACAGTTTTGGCAGGTGCAACTCAAGGCGCATGGCAGGTGCAACTCAAGGCGCATGGCAGGTGCAACTCAAGGCGCATGGCAGAGAAAGTGACGGGAAGAGATGCGGGCAGAAAAGAGATGCGGGCAGAAAAGAGATGCGGGCAGAAAAGAGATGCAGTCATCTGGGCATGCAATATGTTGCCAATCCCTCCCATCCCTCCCATCCCTCCCATCCCTGCCTTCCGAGCCTTCACAACCGCCACGTCACAACTGCATGAGTTGCCCACCCCTTTCCACGAGTTTTGAGGCGCCTCAAATGTGCATCAGCTGCTGCCCCACCCCGTGCCCCGGGCGCACCCGTTGCCAGTGGCGGCCGGGCGAGAGGAAGTAGGGGCACACGATGACGCCCCTGGCGCCCCGCTGCACACACCGCGTGAACGCCGCTGCTATGGATGGCTCCGCTATCTCCTGCTGGCGCCGTGGGGAGGGTTGGGGGCGGTTGACGGGGAGACAATATGAGGGAACGTGGGGGGTTGGGAGCCAAAGTTGCATGGCTGTGGTGTGGCTTGCTGGGTGAGGCAGGAGGCGTGTGTGGGTGGCGTGCAGGTGGTGGTGAAGCAGCTGAGGGTGGCTGGCCGGATGGAGTGACCGCCTTGCAATGACATGGAGGCTGCGGCACGGAGGGTGCGGCATGGAGGGTGCGGCACGGAGGGTGCGGCACGGAGGGTGCGGCACGGAGGGTGCGGCACGGAGGGTGCGGCATGGAGGGTGCGGCATGGAGGGTGCGGCACGGAGGGTGCGGCACGGAGGGTGCGGCACGGAGGGTGCGGCATGGAGGGTGCGGCATGGAGGGTGCGGCATGGAGGGTGCGGCACGGAGGGTGCGGCACGGAGGGTGCGGCACGGAGGGTGCGGCACGGAGGGTGCGGCACGGAGGGTGCGGCACGGAGGGTGCGGCATGGAGGGTGCGGCATGGAGGGTGCGGCATGGAGGGTGCGGCACGGAGGGTGCGGCACGGAGGGTGCGGCATGGAGGGTGCGGCATGGAGGGTGCGGCATGGAGGGTGCGGCACGGAGGGTGCAGCACGGAGGGTGCGGCACGGAGGGTGCGGCATGGAGGGTGCGGCACGGAGGGTGCGGCACGGAGGGTGCGGCACGGAGGGTGCGGCACAACGGAGGGTGCGGCACGGAGGGTGCGGCACGGAGGGTGCGGCACGGAGGGTGCGGCATGGAGGGTGCGGCATGGAGGGTGCGGCACGGAGGGTGCGGCACGGAGGGTGCGGCACGGAGGGTGCGGCACGGAGGGTGCGGCACGGAGGGTGCGGCACGGAGGGTGCGGCACGGAGGGTGCGGCACGGAGGGTGCGGCACGGAGGGTACGGCACGGAGGGTGCGGCATGGAGGGTGCGGCACGGAGGGTGCGTCACGGAGGGTACGGCACGGAGGGTGCGGCATGGAGGGTGCGGCACGGAGGGTGCGGCACAACGGAGGGTGCGGCACGGAGGGTGCGGCACGGAGGGTGCGGCACGGAGGGTGCGGCACGGAGGGTGCGGCACGGAGGGTGCGGCATGGAGGGTGCGGCATGGAGGGTGCGGCACGGAGGGTACGGCACGGAGGGTGCGGCATGGAGGGTGCGGCATGGAGGGTGCGGCATGGAGGGTGCGGCATGGAGGGTGCGGCATGGAGGGTGCTGTTCGCCCCCATGGGCGAACATCAAGCACCATATCTTTTGAAAAAGTGTTTGACTCGAACCGAACATGTTTGGTTCGAGTTGGATTGGAGGGGTGTTGGAAAGGGTTCGACAGGAACACATGTGCGCCGCTCACCATGTGCGCCGCTCACCATGTGCGCCGCTCACCATGTGCGCCGGCTCCACGATGGAGTAGCCCGTCTCCTGCTGAAACACCCCCACGAATACGTCTGGTGGCCACACACCGTGAGGGGCAAAGAGGGAATGGAGAGCGGGAGAGGGGAAGAAAAGGAAGAGGGCAATGAAGGAGGTGCGACATGGGAGGTATGCTGCATGGGGGATGGGGAATGGGAAGTGTGGCATGGGAGGTGTGGCATGGGAGGTGTGGCATGGGAAGTGTGGCATGGGAGGTGTGGCATGGGAGGTGTGGCATGGGAAGTGTGGCATGGGAGGTGTGGCATGGGAGGTGTGGCATGGGAGGTGTGGCATGGGAGGTGTGGCATGGGAGGTGTGGCATGGGAGGTGTGGCATGGGAGGTGTGGCATGGGAGGTGTGGCATGGGAGGTGTGGCATGGGAGGTGTGGCATGGGCGCCTTCCGAGAGAACAGATGGATGGAATGCGACACATTCTTTCTTACTCCTCCTCCCTCCCTCCCTCCCTCCCTCCCTCCCTCCCTCCCTCCTTCCCTCCCTCCCTCCCTCCCTCCCTCCCTCCTCCCTCCCTCCCCCTCCCCTCCTTCATCCTATACCCGGTGACCTCACTGCTTCTCTACCCCCCCGGGCCCTGTAGAGCGCACCGAGCTGCCGGTTGGACTCGTCCCGCCGGGACCCATGGTCCACCACCACCACGCCCACCTCCGACGGCCTCATCGCTGCCACCTCCGCCATGCTGCACTCCTTCCGGGCCTCCGCCGCAGCCTTGGCCGCATCACTTGGTTCGGCAGCATGAGGTGGTGTGGGGTGGTGGGCAGGGCTGGCCATGGCGGATGGAGAGAGGCGCCGGTGGAGACACGGAGAGGTGGCTGCCAGCAACGGCTGTGGGCGGATGGGATGGGGGGAGGGTGGGAGGGTGGGAGGGTGGTAAGCAGGCGTGCAGCATGCAACACCATCCGCGCCCATGGAGCTACGCGATCAGAGCCTGTGCCACGGGGGCGAGGGGCGCCCACGGGGTTGGTACCGAACACGACGCGGTGATACCGTGCGCGCAGACAGCGGGTCGCCTTGCCGCAGGCGCTGCATGGTGGCATGCGCAGCGCACAGCAGCGCCGACCTAACCATGTGAGCTTCGAGCAGGACTCGACAAGCCTGAGGCCCACCTGCGAGTGCCGCACGCGCCGCCTCTCACCTGACGGTCTCGAAACGCCTTGCTGGTCGCGCACGTGCCGAGAGATGGCGCGAGCGCGACCAAACGACCTCCGCGCTGCGCGTCCGCCGTCAACCGATGGCGCGTGGGCGGCTGCGAATAGAATGCGCGGGGAGGGCAATGGAGCGACGCGACGGTCGAGGGACCGCAAGACGCAAGCGAAGTCTTCGCGCTGTTGCGAAGGCTAGGCGCAGGACGAATTGCGGCAGAAGGCATGGCTAACCACGTTGCTACTACAAGGCCACAACTAGTTCTATGAACGTAATTTCAGACTCTAGGCCGTTCGAAAAAAGAACCCGTTCGCAATATGGAGGAAGTTCAGTTCATGTAAAACTAAATAGTATTGAGAAGTATCTCATACAAAAATTCATCAACTTATTGATTTACATTTCAAACGCCGAATGGCCTTCAAGATAAAGCTGTCAAATTGCATATTTGTGGTTGTATGCTATAATGAAGTATCCTATATAGGGTATAACCTTTTTAGGGTTAGTCACACATTCTTGCTAGTCAATCATTTCGCTGCTCGTAGTTCTGACATGGTATCATCGTAGTAGGTTCATTTCGCCCGTCCTACACGCTGCTGCCGCTGCGCGCGCACTGTTAACTGCTGCTAGCGCTGTCGGTCCTGCGCACGCTACTGCCCTCGTGCACGAACGCCTGCAGCTGCTGTTCACACTGCCTCACTGCCCCTGCTACGCACTCCTGCAGCCCGCTGCGCGCTGCCACACGCGCTGCTGCCCGCTGCACGCCCCGACCGTGCCCGGCCGCTCCCTACCGCTGCCACCTGCTGACCTCCCGGCCGCCCTCCGTGTCAATGTGGTAACGGAATAATGAATGACTAGAATGAAGCAGTACAAGGGGACATATAGCAAACCTTAAGGCTCGTCACCGTATCCTCGTGTAACACATTGCACTTCATAGAACCCCCAAACTTCTGTTGTAACCAACACGGACAGCGTTGTATGATATATCACAGCAGGGGCTGGCGGGCAGCAGCAATGATGTCGCGCACATCCGGCTCGTCACCGGCCTCCTTGTCCTGCAGGCATGGGAGAGAGAGATAGTGGTGAGGGTGGCTGGTAACCGTGTGATGCCCACATGTGTGTTGTGTGCCTGATGATAATCAAGCAAGCATAACGAGGTGAGGTTCAGGTGAGGGGCAGGTGAGGGGCAGGTGAGGGGCAGGTGAGGGGCAGGTGAGAAGCAGGTGAAGCAGGTGAAGCAGGTGAGAAGCAGGTGAGAAACAGGTGAGGGCACCTTGTGGAGAAAGAGCAGGTTGTCGATGCCCGGCCCCGCCACGATGATGCCCCCCTGCTGCCTGTGATGGTGAAATGGCACATGAGGAGGCACACAGGGAGATCATGGAACTGGCGAGGACATTCCAACTCACAATAGTATCCACCGAATGTCCCTTGTACATCTGCAGGTCGTTCACACGCGGTGTTGGCATGCAGTTTGCTACTCCAATGAAGTGTGCATGGCTTGATGCTATGCAAGTTCTAGACAACGCACCCTCGTTGCCTGTCCTCGTGTGCCTCGTATTACTCACCACGCCCTGAGCTCTCACCACGCCGCCCGGAGCACTCACCACGCCGCCCGGAGCACGGTGTCAGCTTGCAGCGACAGCCCCCAGTCTTGCTGGAAGCCCTCCATGCGCGCCCTCGCCACACTCAGCGCTGCCTGCTGGGGCGAACACAGGCGGAGGGGAGCAAAGCATGCATCGCAGCATGAGCAGCAGCATGAGCGGAGGCATGAAAGGGCCAAGCCCACCATTCTTTCCGAAGCAGTGATTTGATCAGATGGGCAGAGGTGCGTTGGCGTAGCCTCTCAATCCCCTTGCATATAAATATCTCTCCAAATCCACCTGCAACATGGGCAACAAGCGCATGGTCATTGTCCCCCGGCCAGCAACAACTCTCATTCAACAAAGATCGCCCATTCAAATGCAAAGAAGCACAGATGTTCACTGTGCTTTTAGCAATGGACTTCGGGGGTAGGGGGTAGGGGGTAGGGGGGAGGGGGAGGGGGGGGATGTAAGCGAGGGCAGAGAGGGGAGGGGACCGACGGTGGGAGAGAGGACGGTGGAGAGGGGAGGGTGTTAGTGTTAGCCCTCAATCTCACACTTAGTATTTTGTACTTTCTATATCCTAGCGTAGTGTAGTTTGCACTTTGTGTTTGGTTGGGTGTACACCCACATCCCAACCAAACCCAAATGTAATCTCTAAACAATCTCCAACCCACCAATTGGAGATTGCCTTGGGATTACCCCCAATTCCTAGAGATTGTCCCCGATTCCCTTCCCCATCTATTCCCAGCTCATCTTGGATGTACTTAAAGAGCCTCGAGCTCATTACTAATGCACGGATTTTAAGCTTAAGTTCTGACAGACGGGACTGACGGTGGGCGAGAAGACGGTGGAGAGGGGAGGGGACTGACGGTGGGAGAGAGGACGGTGGAGAGGGGAGGGGACTGACGGTGGGAGAGAGGACGGTGGAGAGGGGAGGGGACTGACGGTGGGAGAGAGGACGGTGGAGAGGGGAGGGGACTGACGGTGGGAGAGAGGACGGTGGAGAGGGGAGGGGACTGACGGTGGGAGAGAGGACGGTGGAGAGGCCCGAGACGAACTGCAGCGCCTCGTATGACGCGCGCTGGCGGTCCGCATACACCTCTGATGGCGGGCGCATGCATGCGACAGGGTTGCACCGTTGGGGGGTGGATGACAACTTGAAGCCGAGACAAATAGCACATGGGGAGAATGCGCTTCACAACTTGAAGCCGAGACAAATAGCACATGGGGAGAATGCGCTTCACAACTTGAAGCCGAGACAAATAGCACATGGGGAGAATGCGCTTCACAACTTGAAGCCGAGACAAATAGCACATGGGGAGAATGCGCTTCACAACTTGAAGCCGAGACAAATAGCACATGGGGAGAATGCGCTTCACAACTTGAAGCCGAGACAAATAGCACATGGGGAGAATGCGCTTCACAACTTGAAGCCGAGACAAATAGCACATGGGGAGAATGCGCTTCACAACTTGAAGCCGAGACAAATAGCACATGGGGAGAATGCGCTTCACAACTTGAAGCCGAGACAAATAGCACATGGGGAGAATGCGCTTCACAACTTGAAGCCGAGACAAATAGCACATGGGGAGAATGCGCTTCACAACTTGAAGCCGAGACAAATAGCACATGGGGAGAATGCGCTTCACAACTTGAAGCCGAGACAAATAGCACATGGGGAGAATGCGCTTCACAACTTGAAGCCGAGACAAATAGCACATGGGGAGAATGCGCTTCACAACTTGAAGCCGAGACAAATAGCACATGGGGAGAATGCGCTTCACAACTTGAAGCCGAGACAAATAGCACATGGGGAGAATGCGCTTCACAACTTGAAGCCGAGACAAATAGCACATGGGGAGAATGCGCTTCACAACTTGAAGCCGAGACAAATAGCACATGGGGAGAATGCGCTTCACAACTTGAAGCCGAGACAAATAGCACATGGGGAGAATGCGCTTCACAACTTGAAGCCGAGACAAATAGCACATGGGGAGAATGCGCTTCACAACTTGAAGCCGAGACAAATAGCACATGGGGAGAATGCGCTTCACAACTTGAAGCCGAGACAAATAGCACATGGGGAGAATGCGCTTCACAACTTGAAGCCGAGACAAATAGCACATGGGGAGAATGCGCTTCACAACTTGAAGCAAAGACAAATAGCACATGGGGAGAATGCGCTTCACAACTTGAAGCCGAGACAAATAGCACATGGGGAGAATGCGCTTCACAACTTGAAGCCGAGACAAATAGCACATGGGGAGAATGCGCTTCACAACTTGAAGCCGAGACAAATAGCACATGGGGAGAATGCGCTTCACAACTTGAAGCCGAGACAAATAGCACATGGGGAGAATGCGCTTCACAACTTGAAGCCGAGACAAATAGCACATGGGGAGAATGCGCTTCACAACTTGAAGCCGAGACAAATAGCACATGGGGAGAATGCGCTTCACAACTTGAAGCCGAGACAAATAGCACATGGGGAGAATGCGCTTCACAACTTGAAGCCGAGACAAATAGCACATGGGGAGAATGCGCTTCACAACTTGAAGCCGAGACAAATAGCACATGGGGAGAATGCGCTTCACAACTTGAAGCCGAGACAAATAGCACATGGGGAGAATGCGCTTCACAACTTGAAGCCGAGACAAATAGCACATGGGGAGAATGCGCTTCACAACTTGAAGCCGAGACAAATAGCACATGGGGAGAATGCGCTTCACAACTTGAAGCCGAGACAAATAGCACATGGGGAGAATGCGCTTCACAACTTGAAGCCGAGACAAATAGCACATGGGGAGAATGCGCTTCACAACTTGAAGCCGAGACAAATAGCACATGGGGAGAATGCGCTTCACAACTTGAAGCCGAGACAAATAGCACATGGGGAGAATGCGCTTCACAACTTGAAGCCGAGACAAATAGCACATGGGGAGAATGCGCTTCACAACTTGAAGCCGAGACAAATAGCACATGGGGAGAATGCGCTTCACAACTTGAAGCCGAGACAAATAGCACATGGGGAGAATGCGCTTCACAACTTGAAGCCGAGACAAATAGCACATGGGGAGAATGCGCTTCACAACTTGAAGCCGAGACAAATAGCACATGGGGAGAATGCGCTTCACAACTTGAAGCCGAGACAAATAGCACATGGGGAGAATGCGCTTCACAACTTGAAGCCGAGACAAATAGCACATGGGGAGAATGCGCTTCACAACTTGAAGCCGAGACAAATAGCACATGGGGAGAATGCGCTTCACAACTTGAAGCCGAGACAAATAGCACATGGGGAGAATGCGCTTCACAACTTGAAGCCGAGACAAATAGCACATGGGGAGAATGCGCTTCACAACTTGAAGCCGAGACAAATAGCACATGGGGAGAATGCGCTTCACAACTTGAAGCCGAGACAAATAGCACATGGGGAGAATGCGCTTCACAACTTGAAGCCGAGACAAATAGCACATGGGGAGAATGCGCTTCACAACTTGAAGCCGAGACAAATAGCACATGGGGAGAATGCGCTTCACAACTTGAAGCCGAGACAAATAGCACATGGGGAGAATGCGCTTCACAACTTGAAGCCGAGACAAATAGCACATGGGGAGAATGCGCTTCACAACTTGAAGCCGAGACAAATAGCACATGGGGAGAATGCGCTTCACAACTTGAAGCCGAGCCAAGTAGCACATGGGGAGAATGCGCTTCACAACTTGAAGCCGAGACAAATAGCACATGGGGAGAATGCGCTTCACAACTTGAAGCCGAGACAAATAGCACATGGGGAGAATGCGCTTCACAACTTGAAGCCGAGACAAATAGCACATGGGGAGAATGCGCTTCACAACTTGAAGCCGAGACAAATAGCACATGGGGAGAATGTGTTTCACAACTTGAAGCCGAGACAAATAGCACATGGGGAGAATGCGCTTCACAACTTGAAGCCGAGACAAATAGCACATGGGGAGAATGCGCTTCACAACTTGAAGCCGAGACAAATAGCACATGGGGAGAATGCGCTTCACAACTTGAAGCCGAGACAAATAGCACATGGGGAGAATGCGCTTCACAACTTGAAGCCGAGACAAATAGCACATGGGGAGAATGCGCTTCACAACTTGAAGCCGAGACAAATAGCACATGGGGAGAATGCGCTTCACAACTTGAAGCCGAGACAAATAGCACATGGGGAGAATGCGCTTCACAACTTGAAGCCGAGACAAATAGCACATGGGGAGAATGCGCTTCACAACTTGAAGCCGAGACAAATAGCACATGGGGAGAATGCGCTTCACAACTTGAAGCCGAGACAAATAGCACATGGGGAGAATGCGCTTCACAACTTGAAGCCGAGACAAATAGCACATGGGGAGAATGCGCTTCACAACTTGAAGCCGAGACAAATAGCACATGGGGAGAATGCGCTTCACAACTTGAAGCCGAGACAAATAGCACATGGGGAGAATGCGCTTCACAACTTGAAGCCGAGACAAATAGCACATGGGGAGAATGCGCTTCACAACTTGAAGCCGAGACAAATAGCACATGGGGAGAATGCGCTTCACAACTTGAAGCCGAGACAAATAGCACATGGGGAGAATGCGCTTCACAACTTGAAGCCGAGACAAATAGCACATGGGGAGAATGCGCTTCACAACTTGAAGCCGAGACAAATAGCACATGGGGAGAATGCGCTTCACAACTTGAAGCCGAGACAAATAGCACATGGGGAGAATGCGCTTCACAACTTGAAGCCGAGACAAATAGCACATGGGGAGAATGCGCTTCACAACTTGAAGCCGAGACAAATAGCACATGGGGAGAATGCGCTTCACAACTTGAAGCCGAGACAAATAGCACATGGGGAGAATGCGCTTCACAACTTGAAGCCGAGACAAATAGCACATGGGGAGAATGCGCTTCACAACTTGAAGCCGAGACAAATAGCACATGGGGAGAATGCGCTTCACAACTTGAAGCCGAGACAAATAGCACATGGGGAGAATGCGCTTCACAACTTGAAGCCGAGACAAATAGCACATGGGGAGAATGCGCTTCACAACTTGAAGCCGAGACAAATAGCACATGGGGAGAATGCGCTTCACAACTTGAAGCCGAGCCAAGTAGCACATGGGGAGAATGCGCTTCACAACTTGAAGCCGAGACAAATAGCACATGGGGAGAATGCGCTTCACAACTTGAAGCCGAGACAAATAGCACATGGGGAGAATGCGCTTCACAACTTGAAGCCGAGACAAATAGCACATGGGGAGAATGCGCTTCACAACTTGAAGCCGAGACAAATAGCACATGGGGAGAATGTGTTTCACAACTTGAAGCCGAGACAAATAGCACATGGGGAGAATGCGCTTCACAACTTGAAGCCGAGACAAATAGCACATGGGGAGAATGCGCTTCACAACTTGAAGCCGAGACAAATAGCACATGGGGAGAATGCGCTTCACAACTTGAAGCCGAGACAAATAGCACATGGGGAGAATGCGCTTCACAACTTGAAGCCGAGACAAATAGCACATGGGGAGAATGCGCTTCACAACTTGAAGCCGAGACAAATAGCACATGGGGAGAATGCGCTTCACAACTTGAAGCCGAGACAAATAGCACATGGGGAGAATGCGCTTCACAACTTGAAGCCGAGACAAATAGCACATGGGGAGAATGCGCTTCACAACTTGAAGCCGAGACAAATAGCACATGGGGAGAATGCGCTTCACAACTTGAAGCCGAGACAAATAGCACATGGGGAGAATGCGCTTCACAACTTGAAGCCGAGACAAATAGCACATGGGGAGAATGCGCTTCACAACTTGAAGCCGAGACAAATAGCACATGGGGAGAATGCGCTTCACAACTTGAAGCCGAGACAAATAGCACATGGGGAGAATGCGCTTCACAACTTGAAGCCGAGACAAATAGCACATGGGGAGAATGCGCTTCACAACTTGAAGCCGAGACAAATAGCACATGGGGAGAATGCGCTTCACAACTTGAAGCCGAGACAAATAGCACATGGGGAGAATGCGCTTCACAACTTGAAGCCGAGACAAATAGCACATGGGGAGAATGCGCTT